TTTCTAACTTGGGAACCCAAAACGTTTTATTTTTTTTAAATGGAAAGGAATTTTAGAATTGCATCAAGGCTATGTGATGCCTCCATTTTACTTGCAAATGATGCTCATCAGAGTTCTTCTTGAAACCCTGTTGTGTTTTATGTTATATAAGCTGGATAAGGAAAGGAACACAGCAGAGATACTGCATCAGTCTATGGAAGAGATGCACAAAGCTTTGAAGCAGGAATACCAGGCTGTATCAGAGGAAGAAGACCGACAACATGCCATGAAGAAAGACACAGCACTGCAGTAAGGATTTCTGCTCATTCTGTAACGATCTCTGATAAAACAATTTCATAAATAAAATCTATGAGATATATATATTGCATGCTTCCTTAAAGCTGAAGTTTCTTGCAACAGAAACTTCTAGTATTTGTTTTGTTTAATCAGCACAAAGGATGAGTGTCCCGTGTGCTGGTGTCTGCTCTGTTACTTGAAATCTTCCATCCTCTGCCCTCCATATACTCCCACAACTGTGATCTTTTGGTTCTGCGGGAGTTAATACGAGGGGCTGCACCTGTCACAGGCACTCTTCAAAAGTGACAGTTATGCCTGCCCTTTCCACCCCCCTGCTTCATTCACAGTGAATGGAGGAGGCAGACATTTAATTCATCTGCCTGTCCTCCATTCATAGAATGCTTTTCTTTGCAGGAACCAACAGTACAACTTCTATGAATGGAGCAGGGAGGCGGAGAGGGTCAACATAGTCAACATATTTGATGAGTGCCTGTGATAGGTGGAGACACTTTGATCTTATGGGGTTGTGGGGGTATCTGGGGGGCAAGGACAGAAGATTTCAAGGAACAGAACAGCCACCAGCACACCGGACACTCCTCATTCACATAAGTACTGTTTCTGATGCTAAAAAAAAAAAAAAAATCACTAAACTTCAGCTTTAACATTGGATGACTTTCATTTATATTCTTGCTCTATAATTTTTTATTGTTTGTGACTGGGTGGAAGAGGTGTCCTCTCTGAAGTATTGTATGTGGTCATTCCTAATGTACACCAGGTTCACTGCAGGCAGAATGTGGTCTGTCTAGCAATCAGTCTTCTCCTTTAGCCAAGGGATGCATCTGAGGAGGGCAATAAACTAAGACACTTTCAGGATATCCATCTTTATGTTTCTGTACAATACTATAAATTACTCATGGCGCTCTGTAACACATAGTTACATACAGTCACCAGCCACTTTATTAGGTATACCTGTTCAAATGCTTGCTAACACCAATTGCTAATCAGCGAATCACATGGCAGCATCTCAATGCATTAAGGCATCTAGCCGTGGTGAAGATGACTTGCTGAAGTTCAAACTGAGCATCAGAATGAGGAAGAAAGGGGATTTAAGTGACTTTGAACGTGGCATGGTTGCTGGTGCCAGATGGCCTGGTCTTAGTATTTCAAAAAACTACTGAGCTACTGGGATTTCCATCCACAACCATCTCTAGGGTTTACAGAGAATGGTCCGAAAAAGAGAAATTATCCAGTGAGCGGCAGTTGTGTGTACCAAAAGGCCTTGTTGGTGTCAGAGGTCAGAGGAGAATGGACAGACTTTGAGATGGTAAAAAGGCAACAGTAACTCTTGTAAATATGGACCAAAATCTCTGAGGAATGTTTCCAACACCTTGTTGAATCTATGCCATTAAGAATTAAAGTGTTACTAAACCCAGGACCCTGCATTCACTATATCTGGTCTCCCACAGTACACAGAACATGGTAATGCAATTATTTTAATAAATATAAACTGCTAAATACCTTTTCTCATCAGCAGTTAGAGCAATCTTGTGGCTTCTATCAGTGTTCAGCAAAGCACTGGTTAAAGCTTGTAGGAGGAGTTTTCTTTCTGCTCTAGGAGGATGCAAATCCCCTGACCTCTGTCTGGACAGTGCTGATGAGACCTGTGCTGATAACATTCTCTCCCAAGAAAAAAAAAAAACCCTCTCCTCCAATACACACCAAACTAAGCATGTGCAGAATTGCTACTGTCTGTCTGTCTCAGGAGATAAGATGTGGACATTTGAACAAGAGGAGGAGCAGAGAAGTCAGAATCAAATGGCCTTTTTACACAATGCAGATTTCAGGGCTCCAGGTATGAGCAGAGATGTGTGGACTGACACAGGGAAACGCAGGCTTCAAGTATGGTGTAAAACAATATAATTTATTAAAAGCTACACAGTACACCCAAACATACAGTGCAAGAACCAAACCTCCAACAGATCCCAGTATGTGCGGGAACATAAACGTAGTCAGGCAGACCGAGTCGGTAACTATCGGGCAGACAAGGTACAAAGGAGCAGGCAGGAGAGTGGTCAGGAATAGCTGGGGTCGGTGCAGGCAGAGTTCTAGCAGAGTCCAGATCAGGCAGAAATATCAGACAGGATGCAAGTACAGGGGCTCATGGAAACAAACACCAAGGCACTGACTGTAGGCCTGGCCATTGCTTAAATACACCTCCTGAAAACAGCCTCAGGTGATGGCTTGATTGCAGGAGTGAGATTCTGGCTGCTGAGAGCACCCGCTGGCCAGCACTGGTACTGCAGCCCACAAGGCGGGTGAGCCCCAGCACCACCTGTGCTGAGCCCATTCCTGACAGCAGGGGATTAACCCCTTAGGTTCCATAGTGAGTATGACAAGCATGCTTTGCTGCATATACAGACTGATTTTACTGTTGTGGGTTTAGTAGCACGTTAAAGAAAGCCATACAAAAATCATGTCCAAGATAATTGCATCAGATCCTTGAGCTTCAGAGGAATCTATCCACAATTTCTACATCTTTTGGAATTTATTGCAGAGGACTTTGCCAGTGTGGATTATCTTAAATCTGGAGAGATCGCCATTAATAAGGCAAGATACTTGTGTAGTGCTGCTTCTGTGAAAGCATCAAGAATACTGTCCAGGTCCTCCCCAAATACTTTGCCCCGTAGGGTTTAGTAACACTTTAAGGCAGTTCTGAAGGCAAAAACGGGGTCCAACCCAGTACTAGCAAGGTACCTAATAAAGTGTCCGGTGAGTGTAGTTAATCTGGTTGAAAAAAGACACTAGTCCGTCCAGTTCAACCAACATTAACAAAAAAAAAACCCCAACATAAAAAAAAAAAAAATACAATTACAATGCATCCTTGTTGCTTTCCTAAGCCCGTGCTGCCTCATGTTCTTTATTATTGGCCCATAACTGTTGTAGTCGACCTTGCGAATCACTAGTAAGCTGTACGGACAGCAGAGTATGGGACCACCGCCAGCAACCAGAACAGCTGTTGTACCGACAGATTTTCTTCACATTCCTTACAAATATCTCTTTTTTAGAGATCAATAGTTGTCAGTCACTGTTGAAATAGATTGGTGTCAATGTGTGATATACTTGAAGTATACGCAATGGCAAAATATTTTTTTGGGATGGAAAAAACTGCCATCAGGCTTTTGTTTGCTATCTGTGTCCTATCTGAGAGATTTCTCTCCACTTTCTATCCCAGAGACACAACACGAAGTATGGGGCAATCTCTCCAAAGCAAAGGGATGGCCCTTTTTAGACAATTTTGGCTTTACTTGGGCTTAAACTCCTATTTTCAAGTGTTTCTAAAGACGGAATGTTTTTTTACATTAATGCATTTTCTGCATTAAGGTAAAAAAAACCTTCCAATGTCTGTGCCCCCCCAAGCCTTCCCTAAACACTTACCTGACTTCTTTCTTGATACACGTTGTGTCATGTGCTGCTCCTCTCCTCCTGCATTTACAGGAATCACTGAGGGTATGGAAGTCGTAGGCTCCTATGATGCTGAACATAAAGTATGTAAACAAAGTGTTACGCTGTTTTTATTCAAAGTATATATCAAATGTGAAATAATTCCATAATAGAACATCCCAGAATAAATTTTGAATGTTCATCAACTTGTAAAATTCAATGTGAAGGCACCATCACCAGCATCTGTACTTCAACCTCTACGACACAGACCTACTTACCAGAGCCCAAGACCTCAAAACAGAAGAGGTCTAATATTGCTTTAGACTCCTCTCAGGGAGATGGATGGATCTCAATCCCTTCATACAGGCATGGATGACTTTCCCGCAGCAGGGCACCTCATATGTTACAGTTGGATCTTACACAAAGAAAGGGAAAGGGAACCCAACAGTGTAATATTCACTTCATTTATTTATTTAAAACAGCTTGTATACTCACAAAAACGAAGGGACAGCTCAGCATTAAAACACAGCAAATGCCAATCATCTGAGCCAGCGTGATGATGTCACTACTTGACCCTGCCATAACGCGTTTTGTCCCTAAGAAGGTCATTTGTTGGAGTAGTGATAGGCCGGTGCTGCTGCTAAGGAGGCAGCGCAGGGAGCTGCCAAGCTGTTTTGTGTATGTACACAGCCCAGATCAGGAGTGCACCTGCATGAGTGCCCCTACTTGAAGAAGAGGAGGAGCCGAGAGCGCTGGTGGGGGACTCCAGAAGAGGAAGTAAGGGACCTGTTCTGTGCAATACCATTACACAGAGCAGGTATGTAGAACATGTTTACCATTTAAAGTACAAAAATAAAGTTTATAGCCACTGTAACCCACTCTATTTCAGCATGGGATTTTTAGTATAATTTGCTAGTAATACCGGAGTTTCATCTAGGATTGGTAGCTCTTAACGTGGATAAATTTCCTAACAAGAGGTTTGCTGCCATAAGCCCGCAGATTCTTATTACTATTCCCATTTTTTATTTCTCTAAGGCTGGAAAAATCCAGAGATCTCCTAAATGAGAAGCAAGAACTATTAGGAAAACTAAGTTGGGAGTTGACAGAAATGGATATGAAGTCGGAAGAGCTGGTAGAAAGCATGCGGTAAGCTGTTGTAAGAGTATTATAGAATTACGTGTAATAAGAATATTGTCTCCTTTTTGACATGAATTGACTTAAATTTATTTTTAGAGTGACTACAGAGCAACTTGCTGCACAAGTAGATGAAGCTAAGGAAGATCTGGCAAATGAAAGACAGAAAAGGTTTGAAATTAGAATTTTATTTTCAGTTCCGTTTGATCAGTGGTTTTTATCCTTTTTACGGATGTAGCAGTTGCTATATGTTTGAAATAAAACATTTTGGACTCTAAACTTTGTTGTGGTGTTTTGATTGTTACAATCAAACACCAAATTTAAAAAAATGCAGGTAAAAGCACAGAAAAAAAATAATCAAAATTGTATTCATTTGAAATGTGTCTTTGAATTTGCTAGAAAATCCTACTATGCCAGAAAGAGTAAATTCCCTAGCACAGTCCCTTTCCTCTTTGCACATCATAGCTCTCTCCTCTCCTGGGAATGTCTAATTACTGTCTACGCAGGCCCAGCTCTTCCATCTCTCCCTTAACCTCCCTACATACTTTCTTATGTATCTGCCAGGGCAGCAGTGAAGGATAATATTATGGAGTGTCACTTGAGTGACAGTTCTAAATCTGCCGGGGCTGCTGACATCACATTAAAGATGGCAGCACACAGCAGCAGTCTCTGAGATTTTGGATGTTTACACAAGAGGGTCTTTTACAGGTAAAAAGCATGCATAAAATATGGGAAATGCGCAAATAATCTTATGATAAAATAAATGGTCTGGCGACAGGGTCTCCTTAAAGTGGTTCTAAAGGCTGAAGGTGTGCAGCAGCCCCCCTAATACTTACTTGAGCCCCATTGCAATCCAGCAATGTGCACAAGAGCCTCGGCTCTCTGGGGTCTCTCCCTCCTCATTGTCTGTGACAGCTGCTGACAATTACAGCCAGTGAGCCAATGAGAGAGGGGGGGGGTTGGGCCTGGCCACACATCTGTATGTAAATAGACATGCAGAGCAGCGGCTTGGGAGGCAGCCTGCTTGGGTGCCTCCGTAGCAAGCTTTTTTTTTGGGGGGGGGACTGCCAGGAGCGTCGGTGGGGGACCCGTGAAGAGCAGGATCGGGGCTGTTCTATGCAAAACCACTGCACAGAGCAAGTGAGTATAACGTGTGTTTTTTTTTCTTTTTTTTACTTGCCTTTGGGTTGTTCTTTGGTGGTTGGTTATGGTAGTAGCAAGAACTATACAACTAAATTTAAAAAATGTTCTTTTTTACTATTTTGGGTCAGTTTTCCTTTGATAATAAAAAACAAATCAGCAGATATCTATTACCATTTACCACCAAATGAAAGCCCAATTTGTCCTGAAAAAAAACAAGGTATAATCCACCTGGTTGAGATGATATGTACAGTTTTGCTAACACGTCAAAGTTGCAAAATTGTGCTTAGGCTTTAAGATTCTTTTTACCCTTAGGCATGAAGAGGTTAAGCACTTCCTCTATGAATGCTATAGATCAGATATTCTACAATCCAATAGTGAAGTGTGGTGGTTCGCTTAAAGAGTATGTAAACCCAACATTTCATAATCCTGCTGTACCATGTACTTGTATAAAAAAATATTTTGTTCTCTTTGTATTGCTTCCTTTGTGTGAAATCCCAGGTGCTCCTGGCAGTACCTCTACTTTCCTATTAAAAACTGACTAAGTTGGGCATGAGAGCATAGCGTGGTCAGTTCTCTAGCTGTGCTGGGAACTCAGTGTGCTCTCCTCCAATGATCAGACTTCTACTCACACGCCCCCTACCCCCCTTCTTTTCCTGCACACCCATGCACTGGGAAGTTCAGTGCCCTGCTGTTTCTCCTCCTCTTGCTATCTGTTCTCAACTGCATTAGGAGCTTAGAAGGTATGTGATCGATTAATAAACGGACACAAAAAAGGTATTTATGTTTTTTATATCTATACACAATATTATTACTTAATATTTATTATAATCTAAATCAAGGATAGTAAAAAATTAAATTTCATTATTATGTTCTTCTTTCAAAGTACAAGAATTACAGAGTGTGTTTTCCTTTACTTTTCAACTCAGAATGGCAATTCAAATTAAAAAAGATGAAGCGACAAAGGAGATGGAGCTGTGGAAATTGTCTGAGAAAACCATACTGAAAGAACTGAAACAAAGAATAACAGCAGGACATAATAAGCAAATGTACTTAACTACAGAGGTGAGGCCAAAAGAAGTTTACGTCAAGGTTTATATCCAACCTAATGTGTGTAACATTGATATGTGTTTTGGTGGCCATTCAGATCAGTGACATGCATTTAAAGCTGGGTACACAATGGCCAAAAAGCATCCAGTTCAGCAGGAAGCGGCCGACTTTCAGTCTATATGTACAGCTGTCTGCCCGACAGAAGCTGGTCTAATGACCAGGATGTCAAAGGGACATGCTGCAAAACCAGCATCCAATCAGTGCTTGCAGCCAGTAATAGCTGCGAGGCTGGTCAGTGTATTCTGTTAGTGGGGGGGTCAGAATACAAAGACACAGGGGGAGAGAGTAAAAAACTGTCCAGCAAAAACTGGCCGATTGATGCCAACACAAGTGATGTTGATGCAGCGATCTGTCAGTTGTTGCCGGTTGTACCAGCTTTACTGTGTCTTACTGCAATGAATGTTTACTTTTCATTTTACATGCCCTGTGATTCACTGCCACGTCACCCCAACACACATATACAATGACAAAAAACACACCTGCACACTACAGTTCACAGATTGTAATGGTGTGTGTTTTTTATGGTGTTCTCTGTATGGCTAGAGCAGGGGTGTATTTCCCACAAGGCATTTGCCTATGGCGGCATTTTTCAGGGGGCCAGCATCACCCCCCTGGAAGAAGGGACACATGTGGCTTAGGGACCAGATGGGATCTGAGAGAGGCTGGGGGCTGCTTGACTCTCGTTCCTGGGGATGTCCAGAGCTGTGAGACTGGGTTCACATATATGTGGTGCGGTATATTGCATGTGATTCGCACAGGAACCGCACCTCATTCTTGTGCAAATCAAATGCGATTTGTGTGCGGGGCGATTGGAGCCATACAGTTTGGCTCTAATCGCTTCGCACCAAAAAGGTGCAGGACCATTTTTTGGGTCCGCAGTAGAATCGGATTGCATGGCTATTCACACCTATGTGATCTATTCTGCACATCGCACCGCGTTTTGCGGCCCTCTTTCGGGTGTTGTTAACTTAACATACACACCCACAGCAGTTCACATGAACTGGGTGCGATTCTGATGTGGTACGGAATTCACACAGAAAACGCTGCAAATTGCACACCGCATCAGTGTAAACCAGGTGTAAAGGTGAGTGTCTTTCGCTCTCGTGGGAGGGGAGTGGTCGGTGTACGGGGGCGATGCTAGTGGAATGTTCTCTTGGGTGGGGGTGTTGTTGATCAATGTCAGGCTCTCTCGGGGGTGGGAGGGCGAATTTTGTGTTGCCTAAATACACCACTGGCCTAGAGGCAATGGAAGCACCGAGTGGGGGAGGATAATTGGGTCTCTAATGTCTTTGAGTCATTTATTTTCTTTTTTAGGCTTTCTTCTATTTTCATCTGTTGATCCAGCCAATAACTCTGTTGTTTTTTTTCAAAAGAAGAAGCTCTTCAGTAGAATGTATCAGTTACAGTGATGAAACAAACCATTTTCCACTGACAGGGATGCTTACAATGAGCAGCTTTTATTTTTTTTAATGTAAAACCTTTATCCCAAAAGGAAAATAAACTGATGTAACTGTAATAATGTATTAGCTGGAGTTTGGCTTAAATTTGCTAGTGTATTTAAATCTGCTAGTGCATCTAACATTCCCCTTCCCTAGACTGACAATGCTGCTGTCCAAAGGTGCCCTCTGTGCTCTTCATCCAGAGTGGAGGCACTCTAATTCAGGTGGTGTGTTACTGGCCAGATCCCCAGGTAAAAACAGAGGGAAAAAGCCTAAAAAATAAAACTAATGCAGCCATCATATATAATGATTGGTAAGCTGCAATATATTACATTTTTTGGGTTTAATACCCGCTTTAACTTTACATGTACAGATTTTTTTCATACCATATAAGAAAAATCTTAGAATGAACTCCTAGGATCTCTTGACTGAATTAATTCTGATCAAAGTGAAGCCCCAGGCAGTTTGAATAATTACAGAAGATTCACATAGACATGTGTGTATATAACTTAGAACCGGAACGATTTTAAGTATAATGCAAGATGATGGTGACTTGATGCAAAGATACTGATCCCGAGTAATAATTCATAATGTTCTTGTATCTAGGGCAAACGTCTCGAGGGAGAAATAGAGAAATGGGACAAAGAGATCTGCAGCATAAGTGAAGAACTGGATAATGCAAGTAAAGAAAATTTAACTGAAGAACAGAATCTCAAGGAAGAGATAAAGACACTGGAGGTGAGATTAGAGGTGTAAGGGAAGTCAAAGAGCACTGGTGAAAAACTATTGAAGTGAGATTTTAAGTAAACCGTAAAATACATGATTGATAAATATACATGTTTACTGTTGTACCTGCCAAATTATTAGTAATTTTGGACAGTCATTCTTGTGATGTGTGTGGGCAATGTGTGCCTGGAGAATCGGAAATGTGGATGTCACGCCTACACCTAGCATTGGTGGTCAGGCACTATAATTGGCTTCTGTGTTCTTCACCTATAGCAGCCCCCTTTCCGATAAGAAAAGCAGGCCTTGGTTGCCCCCAGGTCTTATACACAATGCTATAGTGCCTGGCTACCATGCCAGGGCAGGCACGAACTGAGTGCAGCAAAAAGGGACTTGCAGTTGGCAGACAGGCAGAGTGGTCCAGTGACAGTCCGGGTTCAGAGCATGCAGTGTCTAAAGAGTGGTCAGGGTCTAATCTGTGGTCAAAAGGCATGCTGAGTTCTGAGCACAAGCAAACTCTGATCCAAGGTCATCAGCAAGGTAATCTTAACTATTTGGCAGAGCAGGGCTAAAATGAATGTCAAAGCACAGGAACAAGGCAGGGAAACAAGGAGCTTGAAGCAAGTGTTACAGACACTATCACAAGCATGAGACTGAGGGCTTGGCTGGCTTAAAATAGGTTTGGTCTCCACTCAGAAACTGGCCACATTAATCACCCAGCAGGTGGACAGGCAGACGGGGAATGCAGCTCATCCAAAACCAGGGTGCTGGAATGAGACCAGCAGCTGTCATAAAACTGAGGCGTTACATGTTCTTGACAGCGGAGGAGAGTGATTTGACAGATACCATTAATGTTCCAGTTCATTCCTATTCCATTCAGATTGTTTTCATTCTTAAGCTCTGATGAAGGGGGGCGTTTTTGGACCCCCAAGATGAGTTTGATTCTTTTTTTAATGTCCTCCTGTCTTTTATTTGAATAAAGTCTTATCTACACCCTTTAGCAGTGGTGTGGTACTTCATTTTACATTCTTATGATACAATCACCTATGCTAATTAGTAAGATCACTCTGCTGCTTTCTGGTTAGGATTACCACTCTATGTTCAGTTAAAGCCTATATCTGGCCATACTTAAATCCCCTCCCCCCATTCCTTCCTGTCAACACCATCCCACCCATTTACTATTAACAAAAGAACCCTGTTTTACTCACCTAAGTTTGCCATCACATGACTCTCCACAGTCCCCCTCTGGGAGTAAAGACCAGTGATGACTGATCCCATTGCCACCACCCTGTGGTTCTGTCTTTGTGGTACTGCAGCATTCTAGAACTTGTGGGGCCCCTGCTGATGGACTGTCAATGGAAAGTGTTCATGACACTAGGACAGCTATGTGGTTCCCTGAAGAAGGACTCTCCCAGGGTGCAGTCCAGAAGATAGTGTAGGCAGATTGGGGATTGCCAAAGACTGCTTTAACAAAGCTAGTGATGTTTATTCACTGTCCCGTGAGAAGGCTGGAGGCAGAGTTGACCTAGTCAATGTTGAAGCTGAACGAAAAATTGTTTAATCCGTGACTACATGTATCACCCATCTGGCTTTGTAGTGTGTCAAAGGTGTATATATGTATCACAAAGCTGGCTGGACAGGTAAAGCAGTAAACATATATGTACAGTATTTCAAATTTGTATTCTGCCAGTTGGCAGAGGTTTTTTTTAATGCATTTTAAGCAATAGCTTCTTGTGGCAGCCATCTAATAAATTCAGGTATAGTGTATTCTGTATCAGCAAGCCTATCATAAGGTCTCAGACAGCACAGACAAGATAGTGGCTTGACTTTTTCTACTACAATTTAGCAATACAGCTGGGTCACATCCCTGCCCCCAGCCTGTGATTGGACTGTACGTGAGCAGCAGCAGAGTGCTTCAACATTAATTTGATCTGCTCTCCTCCCTGATCCTCTCAGATTGTTCCTTGCAAGATTATGTGGACTGATTGTGTGCTAGTGCTCTCCCCATCCAAGTGCTGCTGTACAGGGAGTTACAAGAGTGATACCAGAATAGATTCATATACGCACTCCAGCTGCATTTAAAAATACATTTAATACTTTTTAAAGAATGCATATCTGCATCAAATTGTGTGTTTTTTTTATCTTGCTGGAGTTAATCTTTAAAGAAAACATACAGTATTTAAGATTATTATTTCACAATTAAACATTTAATACAGAGTGAACCAACAAGACAGGCTTAACAAACCATATTTTCTAAACAGAAAGGACAGCAGAAGCTGCTTTCCTTCGGAGTCCTTCTCTCTGATTAAAACCTCATACAGAGCTGTCTGAAGAAAGCAAGAGAGTGGTAGCACAAGTCAGTTCACTAGCTCATTTTTCATTTCTTCTTGAGTTTTGAGCTCTGTAAACAACAAGCTTCTTTCATAGAAGTGAGTTTGGAAAAACTAAAAAACATGTGAATGTGAGCCTAAAGATCAATCTGCTGGCTTGAAATGAAAATGCCAAATTTGCATATGAAATATATCTTATTACCCCAACTAAATATAAATATATGTGTGTGTGTGTGTGTGTGTGTATATATATATATATATATATATATATATATATATATATATATGTATTTATATTTTTATGTATTAGTCCTGAAATAGACAAATATATGAAAAACTTAAAAAAATGTTCCTAATGAAAATGCTAGCTGCCCTTACTTTCTCTGCTTGATGGTGAGTTTAAGGTCATTGACCTATAATCAGTATACAGATTAGAAACTTTTGCATGAGTTTAGAGCTCTAATGTGGTTTACTATTTTCTGGGTTAGTGATTCAGAAAGTACTGAAGACAATGAATCAACATGACAGCCAGGGAACCATACTCACTGAGTAGTAAATCCTACAACACAGTCTAACTGCATTTTTTCATGTTTATTAAAGGATAAAATTCAAGTTTGTATTAAACACCTAGAAAATGAGCAAGAAAAACTGGCCAATAACATTCCCATTATGAAGGAGGCTGAAAACACCTACAATAGAGAGAATACCGACTATGAGGATTTAAAGAAACATACTGGAGGTGAGAACATGCGGTCATATTGTGTTATAGGGAATCATGGCCAAAATACAGTAGGAGAAAAGAGCTAGAGACAAAGTAAAAATACAAACTCATTTTTAGGGTTCATCATTGGGCACAGGGTTGATTCTACCTCCTGTCATGCAGACTTTCTTCCATGTAAGTCAAATCTGCTTGTTTACATGCCAGGCCACTTGGAGGTAAGTATTGCAGGTTTCCTAGAGCCTATCACTTTTCTCTTCTTCAGGTCATTCACAACAGGGAGACTCCGTTTTAGAAGTTTGTTAAAAACTGTTTGGGATCAAGTTTAAATTTGGGGAAGGGAGGGAAGAGAAGGGCATTAAGGCCCCCATAGACAGCTGAAAAGGCTGAAATTTGAGCTGCAGGTGGCCTCCAAGCATGAACCAGCTTGACAAGTTGATTTTAAAATGAACTGAGCTGACTGGAAAATGTATTGCTTGAACAGTGACTGCATCCTGTCATCATAATATTACATTAACATGATAATAAAACAGTACCACATCCATAATTTCAAGACACCATCAGAGAAAAATATATTTTTACCAAATATTCCGACTTTTTCAGGTACATGCGAGATGACACTTGTTTTGAAACCATATACAATACTTTATTTATACAAAGTTGTTAAAACCTATATGGATCTGAACTGATCCTAAAAATGACAATTTGCTATCAAATCTGAACGTATTATTACAGCATAATCATTCAAGAGAATTGGGTGCTAGAACACCAAACATACTTACAGTGAAGGAAATAAGTATTTGATTTGCCACGGTGGAGAGTTTGGAATCTGATTGTTTGATTGCTCCTGTGGACAGGTGTCTTTTATACAGGTAACAAAATTAGATTAGCAGCACTCCCTTTAAGAGACTGCTTCTAATCTCAGCTTGTTGCCTGTCTGAAAGACACCTCGTAGCCAGAAATCCTGCTGAATGATAGGGGATCAAATTTCCCTCATGAACATGCAAATCAGTGCATAATTTGTTAGACATGCATTTCTTTTGAATTTTTTGTTGCTATTCTGTCTCTCAGTGTTACAATACACCTACCATTCCATTTTTAGACTGATCATTTCTTTGTGAGTGGGCAAACATTCAACATCAGCAGGGGATCAAATACTTATTTCATTCACTGTATGTCAAACACTTATACAATATTTTAATGTGGAATTTAATTGCCCAGCGCTATGCAGCCGCTTTTCTTTAGACCAGCCTTTCTAAACCTTTTTGACACAGAGGAACCCTTGAATTAACTTTTCGGTCTAAAAATTGCTATATCTACAACTCATGATACATTAGTGTGAAGATCAGTGGGAAGTTTGCTCCTTACACTAGTGTTCAGTGGGAGGAATTACCCTTGACAACCACTTCCCGCTGTCCATACACATATATGTGGTTGCTCTGCAAGTGAGCCTTAACACAGAGCGACTGCATATAAGTGGCCCTTGATCAATTTACCATGCTCCCAGGGATTGGTAAGCTCTGATCGGGAGCTTTCTGTTCATGTGACCACTATGACAGCCAATCACGGCGGTCACATGACCTGAATGCCAACCTCTGTATCTTGGCTTTTAGAACTTTTAAAGGGCCAGTAGGCGGAAGGAGTTAAAAAGATCAATTGTGTCATTGCGAACTTATTTAAGAGGCAGAAATTGCTCAAGGAACCCCTAGAAACCTCTGGAGGAACCCCTGGGTTCCATGGAACCCTGAATGAGAAATCCCACTTTGGACAATGGTTTTTATAATCAGGTATGTGAACTACTAGAACTATATACTGATAAGTTGATAGTGTTATTATATGATTATTGACGTCGTGTATATTGTACATATCAATATGTTGCGGTGCACATATGCACTGTCGTGCCCTCTGCGGTGTGCAGCAGAGCGATCCTGTGTCTGCTGGACACAGTGGATCACAGTACTCGGTACCCATCTGCAGTGCAGCTGGAGTATCATGTGATTGCTATGACCAATCATAGGGATCGCATGATAACATGTAAGCAAAACTGTTGTGAATGGCTTCCATTCATGACAGCTTGCTTAATATTGTTATGCTGTGATTGACCCACAACTATTACATGGTACCTAGGCCAATTACGGCACCCTGTACCATGTTATTACCTGTAGCCAATCATATCATCACAATAGTAAGCAAGCTGTTGTGAGTGAAAGCCATTTATGACAGTTAAAACTATTGCTTGTAACAGTGATCATCACTGGTATAAGCAATTACAAAAAAAAACCCTGATCACCACCCCCACCCCAGAGTAGTCCTGTATCACTATGTCACTACTCTGATGAAAAGAAAAGGAAAACAGTTGTTCAAAAAATGAATGTATGAAGCAATCTTTTATTTTATATACTAAAACTATAGTTTATAAAACTAATTTAATTTAATACCTTAATTTTCCAAAAAATTGTGACAAAAAATTACAACTTCAAAAAAACTTACCATGCCTTTTACTAAATACCTTGGACTGTCTGCTTTCCAGAAAGGGTCATTTGGGGGATATCTGTACTATCCTGGCATTTTAGAGCCTCAAGAAATGAAATGGGCTGTCAGTGCATCAGGACTGATCAATTTTCAAATATAAATTCAAAACTGGTTTAGAGGCACTCAAGGGTCTTGCAGAGGAGGAAGATCAAAACTGCAGTGTCTTGAGAAAGATGGCCTGAGCTTTATTGAAATGTTGACAATAAAAACACTGCTGTTCGCACCTGGGCATTTATCTCAAACATAGAGTGCCGTGGCTACCTTTTGGAACAGTTCAATTTTCAAATATATGTATATCCCATAGTTTGCAGACTTTAGAACTTTCACACAGACCAAATAATATACACTGATTTGGGTTATGTTTACCAAAGAAATGTAGCAGAATACCTTGTGGCCTAAATGTATCAAGAAATATTATTTGTTTGCAAAATTTAATAACAGAAACTACGAAAAACGTGGGGGGGGGGTTTCAAAATTTTTAGTTTTATTTTTTCATTTATATAGAAAAAAATAAAAAAACAGTGGTTATTAAATACAATGAAAAGAAAGCTCTATTTGTATGAATTTGCATTTCATTTGAGTACAGTTTTGCATGATTGAGCAATTGCCAGTAGAAGTAGCACAGTGCTGATTAGAAAAAAATTGCCCTGGTCATAAGAGGGGAAAAGCCTTCTGGAGCTTAAGTGGTTAATTGAGTTTTTCTTCATGTTTACCAGATTGCTATATTCTCTTTCTGTCCTGAAAAAGCGGGTTTAATCTGTGAAACGCTTCATTAAAGGCCCTAGTATCAGTTCAGGTCCATATAGGTTTTACCAACTTTGTATGCCCCATACTCATTCACATAGGGGGCTTCCAGATTCCGATAAGCCCCCTGCCCACAGACCCCCACAACCACCGGCCAAGGTTGTGGGGAAGAGGCCCTTATCCCCATCAACATGGGGACAAGGTGCTTTGGGGGGGAGGAGCCCCCCTTTCCCAAAGCACCCCCACATGTTGAGGGCATGGGGCCTGGTATGGTTCAGGAGGAGGGGCTGCTCGCTCGTCCCCCCCCTTTCCTGACCTGCTGGGCTGCATGCTCGGATAAGGGTCTGGTATAGATTTTGGGGGGGACCCCAACGGCATTTTTAAAAAAATAATTTGGCATAGGAGTTCCCCTCAAAATCCATACCATACCCAAAGGGCTTGGTATGGATGGGAGCTGGGACTCCATGCCGTTTTTTTATTTATTATGGTGCTGGTTTTTAAATGTAATTATCGCTTTTTTTTTTCTCTTCACTATAGCTCAGAGATTCAGCTGTCGCTTTACCCCCAGCTAAAAGAAAGAAAGTTTTCTTTTAGTGTATTTCCCCAAGTTAAAAAAAAAAAACAATGGTTCCTTTTAGTGTCTTAAAAGAAACAAAGTTCCCTGTAACTCCGGGGAAATGACAGCTAATCTTGTGAGCTATAGTGAAGAAAAAAAAAAGCCGGAAATTACATTTAAAAATTGGCACCGACATACACTTTGTATTGTGAAATAAATTTGTAAAAATTTGTAAACGGAGGCATTATTTTCAATGGATTTTCATTCATAAACCGAAAATAACGTTAACCAAGGCTTTCGTAAACCGAGGTACCACTGTACTTTAATTTCCCCTTCCATGTTGACTTAAAGAGATTGTAAAGCTTTACATTTTTTTTATTAAAATAATACCTTGCCCCCACTCTCTCATCACAGAATTTGATTGACAGCAGCACGAGCCAGTGGCTCCCGCTGCTATCAATCTGCCAGAGCTCTCGTGCACATTGCTCAGTCAAGATTGGGCTCAGGTAAGTATAAGGGACAGAACGCATAGATTTCATTAAGGTAAAAAACCTTAAAATGGTAGTAAAGGTAAAAATGTAAAAATCTGCTAACAGGTAGAGTTGGGTTTGATGTTCCAGTCGGAAATAAGCTCAACTCGAACATCGGCTATTCGTGTGTGTTCGGCGAACACACAAACAGTAAGGGCTTTTGGCAGCCTGTTTGCTCGTCACGCCCCACAATGCACTGCACCCTGACAGTGCATTGTGATTAGCCAAAGCAATGCACCTGATCACAGGTCAACTGCAATGCTTTGGCCAATCCCAGCTGATGATGACATCACAAGGGGCGGAGTCACTTGGTTGACGTCACCATGTGGCCCCTTCCCTTAAATATTTAGGAACTGTCAGGCCGGCGCAGCTGTTACATAGTTACATAGTTAGTCTGGCTGAAAAAAGACAAAAGTCCATCCAGTTCAACCATTAAAAAAAAAAAATTATAATCCTACACCCACAGTTGATCCAGAGGAAGGAAAAAGAAAAACCAGCAAACCATGATCCAATTTGCTCCTGCTGGGAAAAAAACTCCTTCTTGATCCCCCGAGAGGCAATTGGATATTCCCTGGATCAACTTTACCTATAAATTTTAGTATCCAGTTATAACCGAAGTAGATCCAATGTAAGTGACGATGCCCGCTGCCACTACCAAAAGAAAGAATAGAAAAAAAAAAAAAACCAAACGCTCCGCTCCCGACGCTGGCTTCTGCCGTCTGACAGAATATGCATGCATCATACATACTAGGGGGGATACAACTGGGGGAATCAATGGTGGAGAAGGATCTGGGAGTTCTGGTAGATCACAAGTTTAATAATGGCATGCAATGCCAAGCTAAAGCAAGCAAATCCTCTCTTGTATTAAAAGAGGTATAAACTCCAGAGAAAGAGATATCATATTACCCCGGTACAAATCATTAGTAAGACCTCATCTGGAATATGCAGTTCAGTTTTAGGCACCAATTCAGAAAAAGAACATTGGGGAACTGGAGAAAGCACAGAGAAGGGCAACCAAACTGATACAAGGCATGGAGGAGCTCAGCTATGAGGAAAGATTAGAGGAACTGAATATATTCTCTCTTGAGAAGAGGAGATTAAGGGGGGATATGATCAACATGTATAAATACCTCAGTGGTTCATATAGTGAACTCGGTGTAGAGCTATTCACCCTGAGATCAACACAGAGGACAAGGGGGCACTCTTTACGTCTGGAGGAAAAGAAATTTAATCTCCAAACACGGAAAGGTGTCTTCACAGTGAGAGCTGTGAAAATGTGGCATAGACTCCCTCAAGAGTTGGTTCTGGCCAGCTCAGTAGATTGCTTCAAAAAAGGCCTGGATTCTTTCTTAGATACACAGAATATAACTGGATACTCACACTTATAGGTAAGGTTGATCCAGGGAATATCCGATTGCCTCTCGGGATCAGGAAGGAATATTTTTTTCCCAGCAGGTGCAAATTGGATCGTGCTTTGCTGGATTTTTTTTGCTTCCTCTGGATCAACTGTGGGTATAGGATTATAACTTTTTTTTCTATGGTTGAACTGGATGGACTTTTGTCTTTTTTCAGCCAGACTAACTATATTAGATTCAAATGTTTGACTGCGAACTGAACAGGGGGTGTTCGGCCCATCACTACTGACAGACAGAGTTTTTAGTGGTCTCTTCTGGGTTAGTGATCTCTTCTGTTCTTCTGTTATAAATGTCCCCCTGCAAAGCAGTGGTAATGGGATCTGAGCCACGTATGTGTGACAATATTTACAGTTCGCTCTCGAGTGACTCGAGTTCGAGTGATGTCATCTGTGGCCCAGCCATTCAAGGGGCCGAAGATGAGAAACCCGGAAGGAAGACCAAGCAAAGATGGAAGTCGCCTGGGACCAGGGAGAGCTGTGACAGCACAGCACTGGAGGGTTCCTTTGCAGGTAAGTCTGCCATAAATGTGCTAGTATGTGGTGCATACTAGTACATTATGACTTAAGCCTGCTGAGGGACCATTTTTTAAACTGTACTTAGGTGACTTTACTACTGCTTTAAGGTTTTAGAACCACTTTAATGCCTTCGCAAAAATAGCTAAATTCTACAGAAGTTCATGACTTTTGCTAATTTAAAAACTCTCAGTGTCTTGGGTAAGGAATATAAAAACAGCAATGAAGAAACTGACATCTGTGACCTTAGATATTTGGAGATGTAGAGCCCATGCTAGAAGTAATCACAAGTAAAAAATGCACTGAACTACATTTTTTCTTTACAGAACTTAGAAGCCGACAAAAATCCTTGGAGCAGTCCATCAGCAAAATTGCCAAGGCCATTGAGGCCAACGTGAATATAAAGGTAAGTTCTTGTATAAGGTGGTGTCACACCACTGGCTTTAGGTGAACATTCACCTTCTAGTAGTTATTTGGTAGATCAGCCCATAGCGCAAAAAACGTATCTTACCTTACTTTAGTTTTTTTTTTGCTGCTGTAATATGACGGTAGTCTATAGACGGCGGAAGGGAAGCTGTGCCGATGTGGCCTAATGTACCTGTATGTCAGTCCGCATCGGCGTCTCCTTTGTAGCTCACAGAGCGAGCAATCAGTATGTTGCACATTACCGCTTTGTCCAGGTGATCACATGGTATTTTGCCATGCGACTGCTGTGTCCAATCATAGCAACCACATAGTAAACACTAGAAACTGAAACTAAAGATCAGTTCTCCCTGCCCTGCTCTCATTGTGAGGGCAGAGAGAACTGATGCAGCAGCCTGTGAGTGTACAGCAGCCTTTAAGGCTGCTTGTACACTGTTTGACTGCTGTGCCAGCCAGCCCGAGTGTCTCTGATCACTGCCCTAATGTAGCAACAATGAAGTGTGCAGCCAGCCCCTGTTACCTGTCCCAGTGCTCACAATAACACCTCCATACACCATACCAGTGTCCCGATCACCGCCATATGCCATACTAGCTCTCTGATCACCACTATACATCATACCAGCATCCTCATCACTGCCATACACCATACCAGCACCCTGATCACTGCCATATGCCATATCAGCATCCTGGTCACCACCATACTCCATATCAGCATCCTGGTCACCACCATACTCCATACCAGCATCCTGGTCACCACCATACTCCAGCAGCATCCTGGTCACCACCATACTCCATACCAGCATCCTGGTCACCACCATACTCCATACCAGCATCCTGATCACCTCATATGCCATACCAGCATCCTGACCACCACCATACTCCATACCAGCATCCTGGTCACCACCATACTCCAGCAGCATCCTGGTCACCACCATACTACATACCAGCATCCTGACCACCACCACCATACTCCATACCAGCATCCTGATCACCACCATAGTCCTTTTTTTTTTTTACATAGCTATTCTGGCTGAAAAAAGACAAAAGTCCATCCAGTTCAACCATTAAAGAAAAAAAAAGTTATAGTCCTATACTCACAGTTGATCCAGGGAAAGGCAACCCCCCCCCAGCAAAGCATGAACCAATTTGCTCCTGCATGGAAAAAGATTCCTTCCTGATCCCCCAAGAGGCAATCGGATATTCCCTGGATCAACTGTACCTATAAATGTTAGTATCCAGTTATATTCTGTGTATCTAAGAATCCTGGCCTTTTTTTAAAGCAATCCACTGAGCTGGCCAAAACCTACTCGTGAGGGAGTCTATTCTACATTTTCACAGCTCTGACTGTGAAGAAACCTTTCCGTGTTTTGCAGATTAAATTTATTTTCCTCCAGATGTAAAGAGTGCCCCCTTTTCTTCTGTGATGACCTCAGGGTGAATAGCTGTACACCGAGTTCACTATATGAACCACTGATGTATTTAACATGTTGATTATATCCCCCTAATATCTTCTTCTCAAGAGAGAATAAATTCAGTTCCTCTAATCTTTTCTCATAGCTGATCTCCTCCATGCCTCTTATCAGTTTGGTTGCCCTTCTCTGTACTTTCTCCAGTTCCCCAATGTTCTTTTTGTGAATTGGTGCCCAAAACTGAACTCATATTCCAGATGAGGTCTTACTAATGTCTTTTACAGCGGTAATATGATATCTCTCTCTCTCTGGAATCTATATCTCTTTTAATACAAGAGAGGATTTTGCTCACTTTAGAAATGCTTGGCATTGCATGCCATTATTAAGCTTGTGATCTACCAGAACTCCCAGATCCTTCTCCACCATTGATTCCCCCAGTTATACTCCCCCTAGTATGTATGATGCATGCATATTCTTAGCCCCCAAGTGCATAACCTTACATTTATCAACATTAAACCTCATTTGCCACATAGTTGCCCAATTAAACAGTGCATTGAGGTCGGCTTGTAAGCTGGAGACCTCCTGTAAGGACGTTATTCCACTGCACAGCTTGGTGTCATCTGCAAAGACTGAAATGGGATTTTTAATCCCAGATCCTATATTGTTTTTCTAGCAAGAACTCATCTATGTGGTCTTTTATTAAACTTCCCAACTATAGAAGTTAAACTAACAGGTCTGTAATTACTTGTTAAACATTTTCACCCCTTTTTAAATATTGGCACCACATTGGCCGTACGCCAATCGAGTGGTACTATGCCAGTCATTAAAGAGTCCCTAAAAATTAGAAACAATGGCTTTGAAATGACAGAGCTCAATTCTTTATGGACCCGTGGGTGTATGCCATCTGGTCCAGCTGCTTTATTCACCTTTATTTTGTCTAAATACTTTGGGATCATATCAATGTAGATCATCTGGAGCTGTGTCAATACCATGCCCATTGTGGACAAGAGCTCCCCCGTGCTCCTTTGTATACACAGAGCTGAAGAAGGTATTTAATAAATTTGCCTTCTCTTTGTCCCCAGTCACCCACTCTAGATTATTTTGTAAAGGGCTTACATGCTCGGACCGAATCTTTTTACTATTAATATATTTGAAGAATTTTTTGGGGTTGGTCCTGCTATCTCTTGCAATCTGCTGTTCGTTTTCAATTTTTGCGGCCTTTATTTCCTTTTTACATATTCTGTTATATTCTTCGTAATGTTTAAACGATGATAGTGTTCCTTCATTTTTATATTTCATAAAAGCTCTTTTTCTTATTATCTATAGCTTTTTTAACTTTGGCCGTAAGTCACATAGGTTTGATTTTTAGCCTTTTAAATTTGTTGCCCATGGGAATATATTTTGCAGTGTGTTCACATACAGTCTTTTTGAAGAACGCCCATTTCTGTGTTGTGTTCATCGATGCCAATATTCCCTCCCAGTCTAAGTCTGGAGATCAGCTCTCAGCCTTGGAAAATTAGCTCTCTTAAAATTGAGCATTTTTATTTTTCCAGTATGTGCTCGCTGTTTACAGCTAACAATAAATGAAATCATGTTATGGTCACTGCTGCCAAGATGTTGTCCCAGCCCTTGCAGCCCTATCGATCTGTGCAAGGAGCTGAGTCTTCACCTCCTCATTAACACTGGGAGGCCTATAACAAACTCCAATGATTACCTTTGTAGTATGCACCCCCATGTGCAGTTCTACCCATAATACTTCAGCCTCATCACACTCTCCATCAACTAGGTCCTTTTTCACACTCGCTCTGAGCCATACCCCATACCAGCATCCTGATCACCGCCATACCCCATACCAGCATCCCGATCACCGCCATACCAGCATCCTGATCACTGCCATATGTCATACCAGCGTCCAGCATTTTAGAGTCTCAATTGATCAATTTTCCTATATATATCCCAGTTTGTAGACTCTATAGCTTTCACACAGACTAAAAAATATACATTGTTTTGGTTTATTTTTACCCTAAAATGTAGCAGAATACATTTTTTCCTAAATTTATTTGCAAAATTATTTATTTGCAAAATTTTATAACAAAAACTAAGCAAAAAATTATATATTTTTTTTAAATGTTCGATCTTTTTTCATTTATATAAAATAAAAACCCAATGGTGATCAAATACCACCAAAAGCTCTATCTGTCTCAAATAATGATAAAAATGTAATATGGGTACAGTGTTGCATGACTGAGTAATTGTCACTCAAAGTGTGATAGCGCTGAATAGCCGAAAATTGGCCTGGACTAGACGGGGGTGAAAGTGTCCGGACTTGAAGTGGTTAAATAAAGCCTCCCTGTGCTTCATCCTGTTTGTGGATTCAGTGATCATCATCTACCACGTGACAGTGCTGACCAATTAAAAGCTTCTTCTTCCGACAAGGTGTTCCAGAAGTGCTTTGCATTGGTCAGTGTGGTTAAGTGGTTGTGCTGACCAATTAGCTCTTGTCATTATGAGCATTATGATGAACTAACACTCCATAGCAATGGTTTACAGTGTACTGACTGCTAGACCAGCAGTATGGGAGCATCACGGCCACTATGTTTAGCAGGGTCTGTAAAAGTGGCCTGGATATTTGGAATTACTTAACTTTTTTTTCTATTTTAAGAATGCCATTAAGAAGAACAATGGCCATAACATTTGCCCAACAAGTCAAACCAAGAAAGACAATACACAGCGGGGGTCAGCAACCGTTCGACAGGTAGACCGCGGTTAGGTGACAGGTAGACCGCTAACAGGTCCCTCTCCCCCATTTCTCCCAGCCTCCTTTGCTGCTGCTGACATTCTCCGTACACAGTGGAGAGTGGAAGACAGCAGGGCTCAGGACGGAGGGTGGGAGGAGGAACTGGCCAAATGAACTTTTCATATTAAACCGCAGGTGATTGGTTGCTAGGACCGACCTTCTGCTTTCTTCTGCTCTCTGCTGTGCACTGAGAATGTTAGCAGCAGTGGAGGAGGCTGGGAGAAAGGGGGGCAGAAGACATTGCTGGGTGGGGGGGAAGGGGACCAGAGGTCACTGCTATGGGGGAAAGGGGGGGCAGAGGACACTACTGGAGTGGGGGAACGAACTTGATTAGGCCAAAAAGAGTCCATTCAGGCGTTAGAGGTGGGTAGTTTACTACGTTCCAGAAATGTTTGATGCTGGGGCATGACCAAAAGCATGGAACAGGTTTGCATTTAATGGTACACATTTCAAGCAGCAAGAAGAGGAGCTTAGGCCCATCAGGTAGAAACAATGCAGAGATATATAAGAGTAATGGAAGAGTCGAGGCATCATTTCACGGTACATCGTGGCTTTTCATTTTTCACAAAGTGAACTTACTATTGTAGCGTAAGAATAGTTGTTCTAACTAAAGTAACTTTTCCAGGAAGCTAAGAAGAACTCTTTAAAAGCACTTAGAAATTCTGCATTCAATAAGCTCCAGAATGACCTTGGGACTATAAAGCAGACTGACAGAGACATCTATGAAATAAACAGAAAACTTGAGCTTGTTACTATGGAAAACTGTAGGCTGAAGCTGGTGAGTGTTTTTTTTTTTTTTTTTGGTGGTCTATACACTTAAAGTGGTTGTAAACCCTTACATATACCCAGTGAAGTGACTACCATCAGGTGATACACAGAGATAAAACCAATCCTCCTACATAAGTTGTACCTGTTTATCTGCAGTTTTCTCTTCCCTACATCCCTTTAAACTCCAGAATTTATACAGCTTGTCTGAGCTTTCAGAACGCAGGGGGCAGAGAGCGAAACTGAACACTGATGAGCTCAGTGAAGAGAGCTTCAAGAGCTGATTGTAGGTAAGAGAACACCCCCCTTCACACAGCACACAGGAACAAAGCTGAGGTTGTCAATCACATGCTGTGTGCTGGAGATCCCTCCCCTGTCACCTTTTTTATCCTGGTGTCAGGAAAAATTCTCAGAAGTGATTCATTCTGATAGCAGATGAAAGAAGCAGCAGAGAGAAATGTGCTCTTAATTGAGACAATTACACACTATAGAGGGATATGCTTTGTTCATATTTCAAGTCTTAGGTTTACAACCATTTTAAACATAAAATGTTTTTTTTTTCAATACTTTCAATGTTCCACAAATGTACCTGTTTACTATATAGGTAAAGTATTGCTACAGTGTAATACAAGACTTGGTATTTTTTTCTAACTAACTCCTCACAGGCATCTTATGTATCCACCACCGCTGGTGGTGCTGGGGCTCACCTGGTGTGTGGGCTGCAGTATCAGTTCTCACCAGCAGGTGCTTTTCAGCAGCCAGGATCTTACTCCTGCAATCAAGCCATCACCTGAGGCTGATTGCAGGAGGTGTATTTAAGCAGTACCAGGCCTGCAATCAGTGCCTTGGTGTTTTCCCATGAGCCCTTGTTGTCCTGAACCTGTATCCTGTCTTCTACCTGCTTGACTCTCCTGCTTGATTCTGACCATGACTGAACTCTGCCTGCACCGACCTGGCTCTCCTTTTTGACTGTCTGTTTGCCTGCCCCTCTGTGCCATATCTGCCCGATTGTTCCTGACCCGGCCTGCCTGACCACTCCACCTCTCCAGCCCTGACTACGCCTGTGTTCCTGAACATATTGATATTAGTTGAAGGTTTGGTTTTTGTTTACTGTGCGTTTTTGTATATCAGCGCTTAATAAATTATATTATTATTACATCATTCCTGAAGCCTGCTGTCCCCTGTGTCAGTCCACACATCTCTGGTCATACCCGGATCCTTGACAAGGGGTAAGAAGGAGGAAGGGAAGAGGAGGGGAGAAAGAGGAGAGGGGGGGAGGGAGAGGGAAAGAGAGAGAAGGCGGTGAGAGAAAGAGGGGGGTGAGAAGGGGGGGGGCAGAGGGAGAGAGAGAAGGGGGTGAGAGAAGAGAGGGGGGAAGGGTGGGGTGAGCGAGAGGGGCAGAGAGAGAGAGAGAAAGAGGTGGGAGGGAAGGTGAGGGAGTGAGAGTGATGGGGGGGTGAAAAAGAGTCGGGGGGGGAGAGAGAGGGAGACATGAGAGAGAGCAGGGGTAAGAGAAGGGGTGGATGAGAGAGTGAGAGACAGAGGGTGTGCAAGGGGGGGGGGGGGAGAGAGGGAGAAGAGATGGGAGAGAGGGGAGGGGGGGGGGGGGGGAGGAGGAGGGGGAGAAGGGGTTTGAGAGAGAGGGGTGGGGGTGAAAGAGAGGGGGTGAAAGAGGGGGTGAGAGAGGGAATGAGGAACAGAGGGAGTGAAATAGAGGGTGGTGAAAAAGAGGTTGTGAGAGAGGTGGGGTGGGGGGGGGGGAGAGGGAGGGGGTAGGGGGTATGAGAGAGAGAGGGGGGGGGGGGAGACGGGAGAGAGGGGGGGGGTGGGGGGAAACAGATGGGTTAGAGTGGGGGGGGGATGGGGGGGGGGAGAGAGATAAGGGTGGGTGAGTAAGGGGGTAAAAAAAGAGAAGGTGTGAGAGAGAGAGGGGGTGAGAGGGGTGAGAGAGAGGGAGGGAGTGGGGGAGAGAGTGAGGGGGTGAAAGAGAGAGGGTAGGTGAAAGAGAGGGGGTGAGAGTGAGGGGGATGAAAAAGAGAGGGGGTGATAGAGAAGGGGTGAAGGGGGGGGGGAGAGAGAGAGGTGAGAGAAGTGGGGGCAGGAGAGAGAGAGAGGGGTTGAAAGAGAGAGGTGGGGGTGAGGAGAGAGGGGGGTTGGGGTGGGGGTGAAAGAGAGAGAAAATTGTGAAAGGGAGAGAGGGTGAGAGATAGGGGGTTATATGGGGGGGGAGGTAAAAAAAGAGAGAAAGGGATTGAGGAGGGTGAGAGAGAGAGAGGGGGGTGGGCATGAAAGCTAGGGTTGGGGTGAGAGAGGGGGGTGAGAAAGATAGGTGGGGGGGTGAGAGAGAGGGGGGACAGGGGGGTGAGAGGGCATGTAAAAGAGAGGGGGGTGAGAGAGAGGTGGGGGTAAGAGAGAGAGGTGGAGGTGAAAGAGAGAGGGTGAGACTCTCCCTCTCCTACTCACTTTCCCCTGATCCTTGCCCCTCAGCTGTTTCCTGCACATGCTGTCCGGGCACACAGCCGGCTTTGTCATCCTCACTGGGGGCACAGACAGCACAGCTTGAAGAGATGGAAGGAGGAACATGACTGGGTTTCCGCCGGGAACTATTCCCAGCATGTGCTGTGTGTGTACCCAGACTGAGCCATGTACAGTTACCGGGTATGGCAAGGATGGAGGATTTCTCATTCATCATTGGCATCTCCTCTTCGGTCTCTTCCCTTATCCTGGGCTCCAAGTCAGCTTCCACCATGGTTGTCTGCCTAGATTATCGACGATAATGCGAGCAGCTATGAAAGATACCAGGGGCATCTCGTGGGGCCCCCTACTAACCCCGGGCCCTCGGGCATTGCCTGCGTGTCCGAATGGTCAGTCCGCCCCTGGTTTCAACAACTCATCTTCCAACATATGGGAAAGAGATTTAATTTGATATTTAGCCCAGGCTTGGGGATCAGGTAAGGCTTAAAAATGAGACAAATTAGGATTATTCAAAAGTGGAGTATGTGGAAAAACAGTGGACTGAGTCTGAGATTCAAAACGAATAGTCCACAAAATACCTGCCTGTAGGGCTTCCAAAGCACCTAGTATGGTGACCTCCAACATCATATAGGAGTTGGTGGCATCCAGCTGGAACCACCAGTGGGTCATCACAGGCTGAGTGGCAAGATCATATTTGTGACAGTCTGAGAGGACCAGGCGTTCGTGTAAAGTTGGTCTCATTAATGTAGTAAGCTTATAGTGAGGAAAATGTGGGCCCCAAAGAAAAGAAGAAATTAATTGATTCAATTGAGTAAACCAGGATTTGGAAATCCATTGTGGAGAGTGGCGAAACAAATATGTAAAATTGAAGAATTTTAATTTTAATTAAATTGATGCTCCCTAAAAGGGAAGGCTTTCTGTTCTCTTAGACCTGCTGGCATTAGACTGGTTGTCTAATAAAGAGGGGAGGGAAGAGGAGTGCAGTTGAATAAAGTAATTGTTGAATTCCGCCAGGATCTCCTCGGTAGAGGAGACAATTGAACCATTTGGGGCATGGATTTCAGATATAGAAGAGGTCTGCATTATTGTGAAAGCATAGCTAGGAACCTGCTGTTTTTATCTCCCTGTTCAAAAAACAACTGCCTATGCAAGTCTAACCTGGTGATTTCTGCCATATGAAGATGCAATTCTCTTTTAGCAGAAGAGAGGTGCTCAAAATCCTGTGCGGAATGAAAGTTGATATAAGAAGCGGCTCTGTCGTCAACTTCCTGCTGAAGAGCCGTAAGGTCCGAGCCCTGGTCAGAGAGCGAATAGCAGACATGAGGGAAATATATTGACCCTTAATGTAGGCCTTGAAGGCGTCCCATACTAGACACCTCGTTAGTCAGCCAGTAGTCCTGAATAAAGTCAGAAATTTTCTCCTTCAATGTCGGGTGAGAAATCCAATGGGATTCCAATCTCCACAGGGACAGATAACAGTAAATAGAGGAGCGTAGCTTTACCAGCATCGGGCAGTGATCTAAAAATCTGCTGGGAAGATACGTCACCTCCTGGACATCTGGTAAGAGTACCGGGGTTTGCAAAGGCCAGATCAATGCGAGACCCTGTTTTGTAAGAAGTAGAGAAGTAAGAATAGTTCCTGGCAGTAGGATTTTTCCATCTCCATATTTCCCTCAAATCGGCAGCCTGGGCCCAGACCCCCAGATCCCCAGATCCCCAGAGCAAGGATTAGACGGGAGGTAGTCTATCCAATTCCAGAGATAATAAAGCATTGAAGGCTCCAATAATCAAAAGCTTAGCCGGGCAGTATGAAATGAATTTGTCTAGAATTGTATAAAAAGGACTTAAAGAACAATAACATATTTTTTGCCCCAGAGTTTAAATACCACTATGACAAATTTACCAGAGGGATTTGTGTGATTACCTCCACAATGCAGGGAATCCATTTACTAATTAACACACAGACTCCTCGAAAAAAATTAGAATATGTAGCATGAAATACCTTTTGTACCCAATCTTTTTTGAGTGCAAGTATTTTGTTGCCCGTGAGGTGTGTCTCCTGCAATAAAAAAATGTGGGTGACATGGATCTTAATATACTGAAACATCAGTGTACCTGTATATTTAGAATTGAAAACTCAGTTGTTCCGACCTCCCATGGCTTTGTCATTGTACATGATTTCATGAGTTCTCATACGTTTCCATCATGGGAATCTCTTCGAGAGGCAAGTGGGGTCTCGCCACGGGAATATTATCGGTATTTGTAGTTTGCGCCACTGGGTTTTATCCCTCCGTCGTACCTCTACAAATCCTTACCGCAAAACGCCCTTTGAGCACGTCTGTCAGCATTCCCCAGGGTCCCCTGGTCTCATTTCTGTAATTTATGCCTCTCTTAACAGTAGGTCCTCCTCATCATCCCCTGTCTTATGTATCTCATTGGGAGCGAGATCTGGGTGTCTCAATTGCAGCGGAGGAGTGGCGTAGGGCCTGGGGGATGGTGGCGAAATGTTCATTCAATACAGTCACTCTTGAGGCAGCCTATAAAGTTCTCCTGCGGTGGTACTGGGTCCCGGCCCGGACTGCTCACTTTAATCCGACTGGCAGAGATAGGTGTTTCTGGAACTGTGGTCTACGCGGGGACGTCTTGCACATTTGGTGGTCGTGCCCGCGATTGATAGGCTTCTGGTCTAGGGTTTTTGGTTTGCTACAAACGCTATTTCATATTACGGTCCATAGGGATGCAAAAGTGGCCCTCCTGCATTGCCCAATTTTGGGTCTGTCTAGGTCTCAGCAGAAATTGGCATCCTACCTTTTTACTTCGGCCAAACCTGCTATAGCTCAAGCTTGGAGAACCCCTTCAATTGTCTTCCAGGGGGTGAAGACCCGGTTAAATGCTGGAAATGTTGTTCAATGAACAGATGTCTAGCATTCTTCATGATTCTCATCCGAGATTTCTTAAGGTTTGGGAAACCTTGGATACATTATTCCTTGCCATCCCTGCCTCCTACTAGTTATGGCCTCCTATAGTCGCTGCCTATGCTAGCCCTGGATCTGTGATCCTTTTAGTTTCCCTTCTTTCGTGTTTCCTTTCTGATTCCCTTTTGTTTTCTTTTCTTCTAACCTTTTTTCTTTTTTCGATATTATGTTGGATTACTGCTGCTATTTAGATCGACTTTTTGCTGTCTTTTTGATGTCATTGGACATTTCGTTATTTGACTAATACAAGTCAGCAGGATATCTCTGTTTATGTGTTATTGTTTTGCTCTGCCCCTGCGAGGGCGTATTTTGAGCTTGTTATATTCTTAAAAACAAAACTTTCTTAATAAAAATATTGAAACCGAAAACCCAGTTGTTCCACGACAGAACTGTCAAACGTGTCCTCCTTCATAGATTTAGAGATCCAGAGTGTCAGAGCAAAATGGTCTAAATACCAGGAGGCTGGGGAGGGTACCTGCTTGGCAGCAAAATCAGCATGAGCCAACACACAAGCAAGGACAGAAAAATAGAAAAATTGTAAACAGTCAAAAAACAGTAGCCCAAACATAGGAAAAAAGGCTACAATGCCTACCCTGCCAAAGCACCTCCACACCCCAAGTATAAACAAAACTTGAGGGTGGAGGAGAAGGCTTCAACCCTAAACTGAACTAAAGGCCAAGTATCTAGAAATTACCCAGAGGGGGAAGCTCCAGATGGCGACCCCATAGTGAAGGCCTACTAGGCCATAAAAAAAAAAAAAAAAAAAGGGAAAAACAATAACAAAAAGAAAAAAAAAGGAAAGTAATCAGGATAGATGAGACCTTAACATTATCATGCTTGAGGTCAGGGGTGTTCCTGGCAGCAGCAAGGATGTCCCAGTCCCTGTAGTTGAGTAGCCAGAGTAACAAAGGCCAAGCTGGAGCCCCCGACACTGGGGAGTGGAGGAGACACAATGTGCCCTTTCCACCACAAACATCGGTGGCAAACCCCTCAAGCCCAGGAAGTTGGTCAATCACAGCGGGGTTAGCTCCCTCCGCACCCTCAGGCAGCCCCAGAATCCTGAGATTGTTGTGTTGTAGCCTGTTCTCATTGTCAATAGCTCTCTCCTGCAAGGCTTTGACCTACCTTTGCAGAGCATGTAATTCAATAGAATCGGATCAGACCGCATCTTCCACTTGTGAAATCCTGTCTTCCGATTCCGACAATCTGGATCTGAATTTTTCTAGGTTATTACGGACAAACCAATGTTGGTAGCAATGTAGTCTATCTTTACAGTAAGGGTTTTCTTACAGGCTGTTATAGCCGCGAAGATGTCAGCAGTGGTGGTTGCATCCTTAGCAGCTGCAGTGGTGGAGGTCTGTGTGCTAGCCGACATGGTGGAGGCAGGAGACCACATGGTGAAGGTGGCCGCTGACAGCGTGGAGTACTTACAGGAGTGGGGGTGGAGCGATACCTTCTGGAGGACATAGGGTCCTGGGGCAATCAGTAGGTTAGCAGGAGTCGGTACAGACATTCCGTGAGGGAGAAGTGTTGGCAGCACCTTCAGGATTCCAGTCATAGCAGGGCTCTGTTACCATGCGTCCTACCCAGCTCACATCTCAGCCATGCCCCCTGGTTTGACTATATTTAGATGGTAATGCAGCACCATTTGAGAATTCTAGCTATACAAGTGACCAAATCCATAAGTGTCAGCCTTCTGGTTTAGGAAGTGATCTAATATATACTTTCTGGGGGGGAAGTTTCACTTATTACAATTAAAGTGTTACTAAACCCGCAAGAGTAAAATCAGTCTGTATATGTTGTAAAGCATGCTTGATATGGTCACTGTGGATCCTAAGGTGTTAATTCTCTGCATTGAGTAAAAAGGCTGTTTGAGCCTGAATTCTCTGATCCTTCCCTTCTTCCAGTGTCCCCCTCTTATCACCTGATAAGACATCATGTGGAGACACTCTGCACATGCTCAGTTTGGTGTGTATTGCTAGAGAGGTTTTTTTTTTTTCTTTGGAGAGTGCTGATTTGCCCGGTGCTGATCACATGCACTGTCCAGACAGAGGTTCAAGGTTCTGCATCCTCCTAGAGCAGAACAAAAACTCCTACAAAATTTAACCAGTGCTCTGCTGGACACGGATAGAAGTCACAATTCTGCTCTAACTGCTGATGAGAAAAGGTATTTAACAATTTATTTTTACTAAAATAATTGCATTTCCATGTTGTGTGTACTGTGAGAGACCAGATAGTGGCTGCAGGGTCCTGGGTTTAGTAACACTTTAATACATACATTTATGCCAATATATTGTTTACAAGCAATGGTTTTAGTAATAATGCTTACAGGCAATACTATCTGTTTCCGCAAACAGCAAAACACCCAGTTTAAGGATGATATCAGTGCAATTAAGAACGAGGCTGAAAAGCACATATCAGTTACACAGCAGCTGGAAGGAGACCTGGCGTCTCTTATAGGTAAGTACAAATGACCAGTTCATAGTGTTGAAGTTGATATTTATAGTATGTTGCTCCTAAAAGAGAACTGTAGACTGGCAATCCTCAAACAATTTGAGATACCAGATACTCAAATGTGTGTTTCTCTGGGATTTTCCCTTCAGACTGACCCCATGGAGTCAGCAAAAAGTGTCAGTGTTGGCTTCAGCCCCTGCTCTAGCCACGCCCTTTGGCATGTTTTGCCCCACCCAGTGGGGCAAAACGCATCAGTAGGCATGTCCAAAGCGGGGGCTGAGGCTAACATTGATACTTTTTGCTGGCTCCATGGAATCGGCCTGAGCAGTGTCCTTTTCTTCATGTCCTCACACTTTGGATTGGTGCTAGAACAACGGCTCCCATTTTCTGAGTACCAGCGGGGCTATTTCACATGGTCTGACCTCGAGCGGCCCTGCAAGGCTCTCATCCCATTGGGATTTTCCTTTGTTATAAATCAGCTACAAAGGATGTCTAAACCAAAAAACAAATATTTAATATATTGCAGCTTTTTTCTGGCTAAGTACATTTTCTGCAGGTACAGGAAAATACCTGGTGATTTTGCCCAGAATTCCTAGTTTTTCCAGCTCTCCTGCAAACTACAAAAGAATTCCCCACTATGTCATGGAGCTGTTTTTTTTGTTGGGATTTGTAATTAAAATCAGGAGAGCAGTCTAGGATGGCAACGGCGCTCCTTTCTACATACAGTAGAACGAGTGAGCATTGTCACCCTACAACAGGAAGTGTGTTACTGGCAGGATCACCAATTAAAATAAAGAGAAAATAGGCTGAAAAAGGAAACTATTGCATCTAAGGTCTGGTAAGATGCAATATATGTATTCAATTTTTGTTTTTTGTTTAAAACGAAAGCTGATAATAGGCATTGGATTGCAGGTCAATCTGACCACCAGGAATGAGTGCAGTGATTTTGGTTGCATTTATTTTGCTATCTGAGAAGTTTTTTACCCTCACTTTCACTAACTGGGCTGTATAGGCAAAATGTGTGAAAGTCTAGAGGTTTTTTTTTAGTTGGAGGAATGTATTTAGGGGCGATTTGTTTTGGTTTTTTTTTTTTCTGTACAAAAGTAAACTATTAAGGTTAGGGCCCTTTCACGTTGATCAGTTTTTGATACTCCTTTGGTGTTTAAAAAGCAAAACAAAAATGCATGAAAAACATATACCTTTAAATCATATAGAACTCTTCCCACTAGGGTGCTGCGCATGCGGTGCATTTTTAAAAGATCTGCAAGCTGCATTTTTTGTGCATGTTTAACCATTTTAACCACCACCTGACCGTGCTATAGCCAAATGACGTCTACAGCGCAGTCGTCCAGGTCTGGGAGGGCGTTGTATGACTTCCTTCCAGAACAGTGCGCCCCCAGCGGTGTACATCCAGCTCTCCCTGTGATCTCTGTGTCCTTTGGACACAGCTGATCACATGACACAGTAAAGGGCCAATCACAACGGTCTTTTACCATTTGATCAGCTGTGTCCAATCACAGCTGATCACCATGTAAATACACTTGCCAGTTATCGACAATACCTTCCTCATGCTGTCACAGCATGAGGAAAGTACTGCCAAAAACTGGCATGTCTGAAAGGAGACATCTACACTGGTAATCAAGGCACTGATTATCAGTGCAGCCCCAAAAGTGCCCATCAGTGCTGCCAATCTGTGCTGCTAGTCAGTGCCACCTAAGCCATCAACACACATCAGTGAAGGAGAAAAATTACCTGTTTGCAAAATGTTATAATAGAAAATAAGAAAAACTTTAATTTGTTTAGTTTTAAATACCACCAAAAGAAAGATTTATTTGTGTGAAAAAAAATGACAATGTCATATGGGTAGTGTTGCATGACCGCGCAGTTGTCATTCAGAGTGCGACAGCACTGAAAGCTGAAAATTGGCCTGGGCAGGAAGGGGGTAAAAGTGCCCAGTAGGCAAGTGGTTAAAAAGTGTACCACAAAAACTCATCAAAAAAGCACTGCGGTTGTGTTTTTAGTACACATCTCCATGTTTCACAGGTGCACAATTGGAGTCAGGCAACCAGAAAACATACCAAAAACACATGGATTTTTACTGGGTTTTTTTTTCTCTCAACGGAGCAGTGTGAAAGGGCTCTAAGGAGGGGCTGTTAGAAACAAGAAAAGGTCCAGGGTAGTTCTAATGATTTATTATAACCATCACTAGCCATTTAAAGCCTACTGTACCCTCAAAACCCAACCTAATGTCACCTTTCCATTGAATGCAATGTGTTTAATTTCATATTTTCTCATTTGCTGTTTTTTGATAAAGAATGGTTGAGACTGTTCACCATTGACCTCAGAGACATGAGATGATTGTCAGTTCATCTGTCCAATGTTGTAAAGCTCACAAATCTTCTATGGTTAAGATTTATTAACATGTAACATTTTTGTCTTACACAAACCTCTGTTTCAACTTCTGTGTCATGGAGGTTCATCAGTGAAGTAGGGTGTTGGCATCCATCAGGGAAATAGGTGGTCAAGACAAAACTGGATCCTCTATACATAACATGTCGGATCAGCAATAGCAGGAGATCAGCAATAGCAAGGGCAGAAACCGATTCTTAGCTGTTATTATTAATTTGGATTGTGGATGTATAAATCTTTCTGTGTCTCTGTTTATTTTAGAAAACCTTCATAAGGGCTGGGAAGAAGACAATTTAATTTGCAATGTAAGTGCAGTTTTGCTTATTCACAATTAGGAAGGCTACAGCCTGTCAGATCTTTCCCTAGAATGACTGGCATTGAAATGGATTTGTTATGTTTCCTTTACACTGATTGTTATGTTTGATTCTGTTTTTTATTGTGGCATGCCTATGATAAAAGGAATCACTTACCTGTTGCTGGGCCTTTTGAAAAATGTCTGCAAGCAAAAATGAACTTTTTAATTGGTTGAATGTGTTCTTTATTACTTTGTGACAGATCGGAGCAACCAATACCACTGTGCCAGTGTCCCATCATCTGCAATAGTGTTCCATTACAACATCAACATCTGTCGGTGTCCCTAGTATACCGTCAATATCTGCCAGTCAACGATCAGCATTTGTAGACTATAGCTTTCACACAGACCAAATAATATACACTGATCTGGGTTATTTTTACTAAAGAAATGTAGCAGCATTACTTTTGGTGAACATTTATGAAGAAAAATTACTTACTTGCAAACTTTTATAACAGAAGCTAAGAAAAACACTTTTTTTTATGAAAATGTTCTGTCTTTCTTTGTTTATAGTGCAAAAAAAAAAAAAAAAACCCAGTGGTGATTAAATACCACTAAAAGAAAGCTCTATTTGTGTGGAAAAAAAAGATAAAAATGTAATTTGCGTAAGGTGTTGCATAACTGAGTAATTGTCATTCAAAGTGTGAGAAGGCAGAAAGCTGTAAATTTGCATGCACAGGAATGGGGTGAATGTGTCCAGTATTGAGGTGGTTAACGTGGAATACTCGCTTTTATGCAGCTTTCTAAAAATATTCAGTTACGTTATATGTGAAAGAATATTGAATATGAGATGCAATAATAATTTACTGAAAATATTTTAGGATTTTTCTGAAAGGGATCAGGAGATTTTGGATTCCATTATGGAGCTTTTGAAGAAAATTAATCAAAGAGAAGAGAAAGTTGAATATCTAAGTAGCAGACTACAAGAGAAGTTTTCTGGTCTGGCATCTCTCTTACAGTGTAAAACAGGTACGTGTTAGTGGTAGTAGGTTGATAGAATAATATTGCATCATGTTGGCCTTACCAGTTGAGGCACTTGACATGGCTTGTTCTTCACACATGCAATTTGGGGAATTCAATAAAGCACTACTGACAGTTTTCTGGCACTATGGCCCTTTAAAAATCAGATTCAAAAATCCCTACTGCCCATTTTGGTAACTTTACAGACACATGCGGCAGGTTCAAGTAGTTCTCAGTGGCGTTATTAATGCACCTAATTCTAAAATAATTACCTCCGGTTTGTAGATACCAAAACTGAAGGTAATTAAGACCTACTCTAGGTAGAGGTAGAGAGACAGGCAAAGGACCTGTCCCTGTACACAGTGTAGAATATTCACTGCAACCACCTTCTCCCTGTCACTTTAGCGACACTGTTGGCTTCACAGCTTACAGCCTCCTCGCAACCAGTGACGCTAACGTGAGTGGAGCTTGATGGGGAGGCTGAGACATTAGTTCCTTTATCAGTTTTTCACTCCCATTGTAATTGGCAGCAGGCAGTAGGTGGATTCTATGACCAATCGCGGCTGTTTATCGTCCAAGGATCTGTCCATTCCCTATTGTCAATTAACAAGGCAGCAGACCTGATAGTGAACTAGTGTCCATCAATCCCCATCAGGCTCCCTCACAAAGAACTGTACAAAACTGCCTGCCACTGTGCTGTGTGAGAGGTGCAGCAGCCAAGAGGAAGCACAATTGCACCAAGGATGGAGTGACTCTGGTCTTAGTGTGCCTCCACACTTGGTGCGTGACCCAGATTTATGTGCTTTTCTTCAACAGGTGCATGAATCCATCGCCCACACTTACATTTGCTATGAAGAGACACATTGGAATTCTAAATGAATTCCCCTGAATGGAATGTAAAGTGGAACACAAAGCAAAAGCCAAATACCAAGTTTAGAAGCAGAAGTTTCAAATTTTATCTGACAAAGGCTTTTTAATTCTGTACAGCCATCTTGCGATTTACACACATCATCCACATCTCACACCTAGATAGGTGACACGTTATAGGGGCCTTTTATTCATGGCTTTGCAGTGAGGCAGAGATATGTATTCAGTTTTCCCTTAGATGATCTTTATATAGCGGGTATGAACACGTCATCATTTTTCTCTGTAAATTTATTTATAAAGGTGCTATTGACATTAAATTTTCCCCACGTCGGTAACAACCCATGCAATCCATACATACAAAGAAGCTATAACAAATAATTTCATAAATTATGTATAATAAAATGGAATGACACAAGGAAAAAGTATTGAACACGCTAACTGAAATGTATTTAATACTGCATACAAAATCCTTTGTTGATAATAACAGCTTCAGGACTCCTGTATGGAGAAACTAGTCGCATGCATTGCTCAGGTGTGAATTTGGCCCATTCTTCCACACAGTCTTCAAATCTTGAAGGTTCCGTGGGCCTGTTCTATGAACTCTGATCTTTAGTTCTTTCCATAGATTTTTTATTGGATTCAAGTCAGGTGATTGGCTGGGCCATTCTAGCAGCTTTATTTTCTTTCTTTGAAAGCAATTGAGTTTCCTTGGCTTTGCGTTTGGGATCATTGTCTTGCTGAAATGTCCACCCTCGTTCCATCTTCATCATCCTGGTAGATGGCAGCAGATTTTTATCAAGAATGTCTTGGTACATTTTTCCATTCATCCTTCCTTCAATGACATGAAGTTTGCCAGTACCGTATGCCAAAAAACTGCTCCACACCATGATGTTCCCACCTCCAAACGTCACTGTTGGTATGGTGTTATTGGGGTGATGTGCAGTGCCATTTGACCTCCAAACATGGTGGGTATTATGGCATCCAAAAAGTTCAATTTCGGTCTCATCTGACCAGACTATATTCTCCCAGTATTTCACAGGCTTGTCTAAATGTTGTGCAGAAAACTTTAAATGAGCTTCAACATGCTTTTTCTTCAGCAATGGAGTCTTGTGTGGTAAGCGTGCGTACAGGCCGTGGCGGTTGAGTGCATTGCTTATTGTTTGGTTTTCTTTTTTTTTTTTTTTTTTTAATTGTACCTGCTAATTCCAGGTCTTTTTGAAGCTCTCCACAAGTGGCCTTTGGACAACTCTTCTTATAATTCTTGTCACTCCTCTGTCAGAAATCTTGCAAGGAGCACCTGATTTATGGCGAAATTATGTTCTTTCCATTTCCAGATTATGGCCCCAACAATGTTCACTGGAACATTCAGAAGTTTAGAAATACTTCCTTAACCAATGCTATCAGTATGTTTTGCAACAATAAGGTTGCGAAGGTCTTGAGAGAACGCTTTGTTTTTACCCATCATGAGATGTTTCTTGTGTGACGCCTTGGTAATGAGACACTTTTTTTTTTTTTTTATAAGCCATTAGTTGAGACTGAACCAGCTGATATTAAGTTGCACTGACAAGGGGCAGGATTGCTTTCTAAATTACTGATAGATTTCAGCTGTGTCGTGGCTTTCCATGCCTTTTTGCACCTCCCTTTTTTCATGTGTTCAATACTTTTTCCCTGTGTCATCCCATTTTATTATACATAACTTAAATTCTGAAGGCATTTGTTTTGTTCTGCTTTCTTTGTAAGTATGGACTGCATGGGCTGTTACTGACATATGGTGAACATTTTATGTCAATAGCACATTTAGAAATACAGTACATTTACTGAGAAAAATGGGGACATGTTCAATACTTATTTTACCCGCTGTATACTTTTTTTTTTTTTTTTCTCTAACCCGATTGTGCATGTCATAGTATGGAGGAGAGTTAAGCCGCCCACAGATGGTTGGAATCATGGCCAGTCTCTGGTTTAACTGGCCAAGATTCAAACCATCTATGGACAGACTGACTACCCAATTTGATTGTTGTTTGACTTGGGCACAACCAGCCTGTCGGTTATTTCTTGCGATTATTGCCAGTCACCAATGGTTGCAGGAAAGAAAATCACATAGTCTATGGCCAGCTTTAGCAGACAACTGTTTAAATGTGACTGTAAGACAGACTATTCAATAAAATCTTCCCATCACTTTATTTCAGGAAAGGAAGGCATTTGCTGAACCCTGCTGCCTTGAAACAAGGACATCTATTCTTTGAAGACATTTTTATTTCTTACAGTCACAACAAAAATGTATATATGACAGAAATCAACGTATAAAAGAAATACATAAGATGCCAATGACTCACCTTCATGTATCCACAAAACAAATACAAATAAATAGAATATTACAAGAACCCAAAAGACACAGTATGAATGGCCGTCCGTATGTACAAGGAGCTCTGTGAGTGCACCCTGCACACAAACTAATACAGAATGGAAAGGTGAAATGCTATTCAAGTTATAGACCTGTCATTCACCATAGAGCTTTATCAAATACTAAAGCCTAGTAGAAGGGGCAGTTTTTCAATCTAAAGAGTAGTGAGAAAATTATCTCATATAGCAAGCAAAAAGGCATTTACAAAGATGCTGTCTTCAAGCCCTTCGTTCCCTTCAACTCTGTCTGGGAGTGTTAAAAGGAAAAGTCAATGTTTCTGAAAAAACAAACAAAAAAAAAAAATACACCCCAACCTCCTTGGCTGCCTAGCTCAATTGAATCCAGATCTAATCTAGACAGAGGTCTGCTCCAGAATCTTCCCCAGCGCTAGCCATGCCTGCAACATAGATTTGAAAGGGGCTGTAGTTCTAGCCTTCGCTAGTTAAGAGTATGGCCCCATTGAAGTCTAGAGGGACTTGTTGGGCAGGAACAGCCAGCACTGCTTAGGATTTTGGGCTGGTGGGGGTAAATGCCCTTGGAGGCCACTGCCACTATCAGGCAATGATTAGTGACCATCTGGGTGGTGGGTGTCTGGGTCTAGGGGAGGTTGGCTGTTTTTTGTAAATGTGAATTTAATTAGAGGCCATACAAGGGAATATATTGCTATTAAAAAAAATAAAAATTTTTTAGGACTGCTAAATGTTTACTTAAATAGCTCCCTTTGAGAGCTGTATACAGTACTCCCTGATAGAAGTTGAAAGGTGCTGCTGTAAGAGCTTCAAGTAAACGCAATGTTTTGTACAGGCTTGCTGAACATGCTACTTTACAAACATGAAGAATGAAAAATGCCCCCCGTGTACTAGGCCGAAATATGTTCAGTGAGGCTGCAAAGCTGCACAAATACCTTCATGTAGTCTCACTGCTGCACTGTTTTGCATTACATTGAAACATTAAAATGAACAATAATATACTTGGCAAAACATGTTCCTTTAACTATTAAGCAGCTGCATGTATCAAGTACTCTTCCCCTGATGACAGATTCCCCTTAATGGTTTGCTCCACCCCCCCAACCTTCTCCCAACCCCCCCCCCCCCACAAACGGACATGCGCACACACATTCCCGTCAGACCATCTGTCACCTGTGGGGGGGGGGGGGATATAACTAGGTATGAGTTTTCTCCAGAAGAAAAAAAAAATTAAACTCATAGTCCACCTTTCTGGCCGAATTTGCTTCAGCCCCATAACCAAAAGGTCTGCACCTCCATATGGACCTGGGACTGGCGGAATATTCAGCAGGCACCTGTGCATTTCACCAGTGATGCAATGCTCAGCAGGCTCCAATGCAAAAATATATCATAAATGCACATTTTTGAATTTTTTTCAATGTGGGTGCATCTCTTGAAATTATGCAAAAGGGTGGTCTATGCTTTTAATGCATCCAAAGAAAAGGCTTTGCCTAATCCAGAATGAAACATACCCATAAACAGGTCTTTGCTCTGCTACAGGATCCTCAGCTTCATCTCTGATCTAGACCCCTGCAATCAGCTGAAAATCAGTAGACTTTTCAGCACTGGAAGTGGAGCCAAGTTGTACTAGGCTGCTTGTTCAAGTTGTAAAAAGATCCATTCTAGAGGCAGATTTACAGCAGCACTTTCACAAGTTAAATTTCATAGGGAAAAAATAATTACTTGTACTTTAATGGGAGCTCCACTACCCTAGGTTTATTGGAAGAGGATGGGGGTTCACTGCAACGTACATAACACACATACCCTTTGTAAACATTTCAGGGACACGTTAGTCTCTGCTTCCCTGTGCCTGGGTATCAAAAAACCTCGTTAAATAGGTCTGGCACCTAGTGGAACAACTCAGAGCAGATGCATCCTGAAATTATTGAGACAAGTGCTCAGGTGACTGTGCAGTGACAGAAGCTGGAATTGTTGACCTTCTCCTAAAAATGCTAGTCACTCGACTCACTCTGGCTTTGGTACCTTCTGAAAGACTGACCTAGAACAAAAAAAGAATTCATGACAGCCAGAGAGCTAGCAATTTCAGATTAAGAAACCAACAGTGAAAGTCTTCATGCTGCATTAGATCCCTTTTCAGCAAGCCTGTCACTGTGAAAAAGGTCCCCTGTAATAGAAAAAGCTGAATACTTTCCTCTTCAATTTGCAGTGAGTGAAATCTTTACCATCTTCATGAGTTCTGAATTTTCTGACACTTCCAGCTGTGTCAGATAGCAAGTCCCCTGTTGAGTGACATGGCTCTCTACTACAGGGCACAGTATTGAAGTAGTGCTTGGCAGGGAACCATGGCACTGGACAGCAGCATTGCTCCCAGGTCTGCAGGAGCCAAGAAAGTATACCGCTTCCTCTATTACAGGGAATGATTGGTTATATATATATATATTTTTTTTTTTTTAGAAGAGACAGAGTAGCTTAATACATCTGGTAAGGGCCGACCCACAACTCTCTTCACCAATATACACTTGCTTTCAATTATTGTGTAGTTACAGCCAAGCAGCACTTTTCAAATTTCCACATCATGAAATCAAACATAACCACCTTCTGAATATGACAAGAATCCCAGCATACATTGCAAGCCAAAATCTGCCGTCTGCGTATTTACACTTTCATGTTGGCGAGGTTAAGTCAACAGAGCACATTTCTAAAAGCTTGCAAATCTACAGGAATAAGGTTTCCAACAGGAGGTTTGTTGAAATGTACTGGTCATCCATGCATAGTGGAACCAACAACGGTATGGGCAATCTGTGTTCATGAGAATGCGTTGTGAGGCAGCACAGTGGATTATGTCTTAGACAGGTCACTAGCTATGAGGCAATTGTGGAGCTGCATTCTCGTTATTTTTTTGGTCAGCCCATTCCCTGAAGGTGATGGGGCATTCCTGGGTTCTAATGTGTATTGGTCCAGCATACAAAATGGCTGTGTCCAGTAGACAACAAGTGCACTTCAAATATGTCCAGACATGCTGACATATTTTAGTCATTTGCCTTTATTTCATAGCTTCCTGGGCTGTCATGTCCATTAATGAGCACTTCCTTCCTCCAGACGTATCCGTGCTGGGTCTGTAAATTTGGCGGTCAGCAAGTAGAAGAGGGTAGGCCCCGGAACCAGTGCGAGAAGAGGCAAGTCCCATTCCAACTTATCCATTCTGGAAATAGAGATGATTCCATACGCATGCACTAGCCAATGGCTGAAGAGGACAATCAGTCTTTTCTTCTTTATCAGAAGATGCTTAAAAGACTAGAAAGAAAGTAAAACAGATAATGATTATGGTCTGTTCATATTGTATCTATGACATACGATAAGCAATGCATATATTGTAAGCAAAAGCAATATATATTTTAGAATGCCTTTCCTGTACTGAGTGGGGACTGGTTGACCTCAAGCAGGTAACTGGTTGAAAAGGGAGAAAGTTGTGTTCCTTTTAAAGACACTTTGGTCCCAGACTGCATTAGGACTATACCCACCTTGTACTGCTGGGGTGGGTGTTCGTTCATCTCCACTTTGATAACAGCAGGTAAAGGCAACATGAGAAATTCAGCCAAAATGACTATGGTTACAGAAACAATCAGGTTTCATCCTTCAGTCAATGCCAGGAAGGTAGTTGCTGTGGTAGGAGCCTTATATTTCCCAAATTATCCCCAATGGCACCTACCACTGGAGCTGCACAGTATATGTAAGCAGACACTTTAACACAACACGGTCTACTCAATATCGAATTGTCAGATTTAATTTATTCAAATTATTGGCAGTAAAAAGCAATAAAAAAACTATCCTATGACAGTGTCTATAATAAACACAAAACCGGCTGGGCTGGTCTTCCAAGACTTCTGCCTCTGTATGTATGTTTTAATGGACACTGAATTCCATGAGGAAACAATTTAAATGAAAATACTGATGTCATTCTGAAGGTATTCAACGACTAGCGGAGTTCAGATTATAATCCAGCTATAAACTGGTGTTGGTGAAAATGTATGCATTGGATGATTCCGAAAGCAACAGTTCCAATGTGTTTTGATTTAGTATTCAGCTTGACTAGAGCTGGCCTTCAAAGTAATTCTGTGCTAGCCTTCGTCTCTATAAACTGCCATCAGAATGTTTATACAAGCAAAAGGCGTAGTCTAGTACGCGAATACTTGGCTTAAGCGCTTCCTATGTCTTAGACCCCTTTCACACTGACAGTCCGATGCAGCTATTCTGACCACATCTGCGTCTTCATCATGGACAGCAAGTTAGAACAAAGAGCAAATGTGAAATTCTGTCTGAAAGACGTTTGACATGATTCAGCAAGTTTATAGCGATGCTGCAATGAGTCGTTCAAAGCGTTTTGAATGGCACACGCGCTTCAAGAGCAGAAGAACATCACTGGAAGATGATGAGAGATCAGGAATACCTTCAATGAGCCCAGCCCCCAAAAATACCCTCTTCCTGAAGATGAAGATCCAGCTCAAAGGTCGCCGTTTTGACCACATTGCAGAGATCCAGCGATTTTCCCAGTTCACACAGAATTTCAGGTTTGCTCTTTATTGAAACTTGCTGTCCATGATGAAATAGCACACATGGTAACGCATGTGGTCGGAAAAGCACCAGTTGCACAGCTCCTGATGTACACAGGACGATGCATGATGGCACACCCCTTCTAAAGACTTACTAGTGTACGAAACGCGTCTTGGAGGAGCCTGCAAGCTTTGACATCACGCCGCCGGGTCACGGAGATCCGGAGACCTCATTTGATCACCAGCTGGTTGATGCTCATAACAACTTGTTGCTGCAATATTCCTGCCTATTGCTTTGATACAGCCTTTGGCATATGTTCAGCATTTACATGTATGAGGATATATCTTTTTGCTGCTGCATAACATCCTTCATTAAATTTTTCTGACATCACTACACTATGGGTATTTCCATCTGTTGCTCTGCATTGAGCATTTAATCCCCCAGAGCGCCCCCTGGTGACTATTCCACTGTACTGAAGAGGCTGCACCTGTGTCCTTAAAGTGGACCTCCGGTTTGAGAGCATTTATCAAGACGATGTCCATCCATCCTGGGCTGGCTCTATTCGTATCCTGAAAGGGACCCCCTGGCAGACCTCCGTTTTGTTGATATATTGCGCATTTTCTTTGCGCGTCCAGTGAGTGCGCATTTTATACATACGCTGCCCCTCACAGAGTCTCACTTAAACTACGCCCGTGGGAATAATATATCACCTTTTGAGCTCTTGTATTGTGGACTAATAACCCATTTATGAACATTGTTACCATATATTTGTCCGGATTACACTTAGCGCTGCACTTATTTTACATTTATGATTCTAAAGGTTATTTTTTTTTTGTAAAATAACAAACATGCCTGTACTTACCTGTTGTGTGCAGTGGTTTTGCACACAGCAGCCTGGATCCTCCTCTTTTCAGGCTCCCCACAGGCTCTCCGTGTTCCTCCTGTCTGTTGGGTGCCCCCACAGCAAGTAGCTTGCTATGGGGGTACCCGCTGCTCCGTGTGTCCATCCACACATGGAGCTGCAGCTTGCCCCCCTCCTCCTCCTCATTGGCTGTGAATGACAGCAGCTGCCTTTTTTACCTTCATGCATAGAATGCATTAAGGTATAAAAACTTCAGCCTTCACAACTACTTTAACCCCTTCACTCCTAAGGGTAAAACAAATCTGAACGTCTAAGCACATTTTTGCAACTTTGACATGTGTTAGCATAACCATACATATCACAACTACTTTGTGCATCCAGGTGGATTATACCACGTTTTTTTCAGGACAAATTAGGCTTTCATTTGGTGGTAAATGATTTTTTTTTATACTACCAAAGGAAAACTGAAATAGTAAAAAACAAAAATGTAGCTGTATATTTCTTGCTATTACCATAACCTACCACCAAAGAACAACCCAAAATAATTTTCTCCTGCTCCTGACAGCCGCAACGATACCACATGTGTATAGGTCAGTTGTTGTTTGTACCCGTACTACAGCCCAGCAACAATAATGTACAATTTGCTTTTTTTTTTTTTATCCTGCCACTAACTGACACTGATACTATTTTAAAAAAAAAAAAAACCTGACCAAAAAAACCCCCCCAAAAAACCTGACCTTGACCTAAACACTAACCCTGGCACAGACCTAGATCAAACCTTGATCTAGGTATTTTTGTTTATTTTTATTTACTTATTTATTTTTTGCACACACTTTTTTTTTCTCTCTGAAAGCGACAGAGACATACAATGTATCTCTCTTCTATTCGGAGAAAAAGAAAACAAGGGGGGGGGCAGGCTTCACAGTGACTGGTCACTGTGAGAGCCAATCAGAGGCTATCACGGTGATCAAGTGACCCAGAATCGGGAGTTCCGGGACCTGATCATTGGGACGGGACCTGGGGCTCTCAGTGACAGCCCGGTCTTTGTGCTGGGCGCATGCCGTGTGGGTTTAAACAATAAGGCCCAATTAACACCTCTGTTTAGGGTTGTCAGATAAATCCTACTGCAAAAATCTGTGGATTCCTGTGTAAGGAATCGCAGGTGAGTGCAAACAGCGGAGGCCACTCATCCTGTACAAAAGCAATGATCAGCTGCCGGGAGCTGCAGCTATCTGCTGCTTCTGACCTATATCTGGAGAGCCAGTGGTTAGGTGTGGGTAGGGACAGGTGACCAGTCCTGAACACAGATAGTTTGCATTAAAAAGCAATCTTTTGTTACTCACTGCAGGTAAATGCTGGGTGTGCAGGTGTATGCAAACAGCAGTGGTCAGCTGTGGCCCCAGTCAGCCTGACAGTACAATGTACAGGCCAAGCAGTCACAGCTATTTGCACACACCTGGGATTCCTCACCCAAAAATCTACTAACAGCCCTAAATCGCTGACGTAAATGGGAGCCAACAATTGCAGATCTTATATATTATAACAATAAGAGTAAAGTATTGGTGCTATTGTGACTCAATGTCATTTCTTACCTCTATCTCTGAAGCAGACATGTAAACTGCCAGGGTTATTAATGACAATACCAGAATAATATATGGAAAGGCATAATCTGAAAAAAAAGGATAGAGGGTCATATGACAGATGAAGAAATCCCATGAATGCTGCCTACTGAATGGTTATACATTATTAATGGTTGTTGTGACAAGAGGGGAAAACAAACATGCATAGAACACAGCATAATGTTATCTGCTAAAACTAATAACAAGAGACCAAAAAAAAAAATCAATCCACTACCAGGCTAAAACCTAGGTTAAAAATCCACTACTAGGCTGTAAAAGAACCCCAGGTTAAATGAACAGTAATATTTAAAGCGCACTTGAGCTAAATCGTATGAGAAAAAAGAAAAAAAAAAACACACACCAAAAACATTGCTATTTAACCACTTGCCCTTCTGAGGCTTTACCCCCCTTCCTGACCAGGCATTTTTTTTGCTATTCGACACCGCACTATTTCAAACTGGTAATTGCGCGGGTCATGCAATGCTGTACCCAAAACAAAAATTAAGTACTTTTTTTTCACACAAATAGAGCTTTCTTTGGGTGGTATTTGATCACCTGTGCACTTTTTATTTTTTGCACAATAAAACAAACAAAAAAAAGACCAAACATTTTGAAAAAAACAAACAAAATATTTCTTACTTTCGGCTATAAAAAATATATATATAGGCACTTTTTTTTTTAAAGTTATTTTGATTTTTTAAATTAATTTTACATTGTCCCTTTCATTTATTTTTAATCACTTTTCATGCTATCACTGGGAATGCAAATACCCCCTATAACTTAAATGGACATTGTCATATAATCTTTTTTTGAGAAATCTGGGGTCTATCATTACATTATCTAATCTCAGCAAGATCGGTGTGATCAGATACTTTCCCAATTTACAAATGGCGCTGTTTATATCCTGCGACACTGAAGTGATGAAATGCTCGTAGCTTCCGATTTCTTAGACTATAGAGATGATTGGCACCATTCCATTCTCGAATTAGCTCTATGGTCAGCTGGCAGAAACACCGGCTGCATTCTCAGGTTCCCCCGATGGCACGGGACTGCCCAAGAAGGCCATGGAAGCGAGCGGGGGGAAGGGGGGGGCATATTCTCCCGCTGCTTGTAAAAGCAATCCTGCAGCTAATTAGCCACTAGGATTGCTCTTACATGAAAACCGATCACCTGCTGAAAAAAACAGTACCAGGATGATGCCTGCAGCTGTAGGCATCATCCTGGTATAACCACTCAAAGTCCAGTGATGTAGCAGTATGTTGCTGGTCCTTGTTGGGTGTATATGTTATGTTCTTTTTTTTATGCAGCCTGTGGGTTGAATGAAAAAAAGAGAAGAAATCTTTGCCAGAAAAAGTGTATGGTATGCCCACCACTAGAATACCTCCCTGCATCCACCTACTTCTAATGGTGGGCACACATGAAATGTTCTTTTTTTGGGGCTGAACGAAAAAGAAAAAAGAACCAGTCGATGTGGATGAAGAAATCTCTGTCCAAATTTTTTTTTTTTTTTTAAATATATACCAAAGCATAGGGGCCATCCACCCACTGGTCACCCCAGGCCCCCATGCTTGGGCATATATGCTCTTTTTTTAACTTCGTATGAAAAATCTCATCCAACAGCACTGCACACACTGACTTATGTATATTCTGAGATCAGGTTCCTGTTGCTGTCAGAATAAACAGGTCGGTGCTGCAGCTGAATGGCATTCCTGCAAAGAAAACAGCAATGGTTAACAATAAAACAGTAAAATCGTAACATTAGAACAGTTACAACAACGATAACAACAAAAACTATAACTATTTTTGGTTTTTAAACATTTTTTTTTTGGCGAGAAGAGACTTGTACTTTTTGTTTTAACTTTTTTTTTTTTTTTATAAACGTAACTTTTTAAACAAGATTGTAGGGTCTCTCCAAATGCCTGACTACCTAACATCTTTCAAGACCCTGTGTAAATATGTGCCCTGAACTGTGCCATGCTGTACCCTATACTAATACTCCACTAGTGTGTGGTAGCGACAGAAGCAGTCCTTGAGCCAGAGACCAGGTTGGCCAGGACAGGAGGGACAAAAAAAGCGTGTCACGCCCAATTCTATATCTGCTACAGACACTACATCTTTTTTGGGGTGTCCTTTGGGTCGGGGTACCAGGAATGGCATCGGGAAAATGCCTCTCATGCAGCCGGCTAACTGCATCTGGGTTGGGGGTTTAGGCCACAGCACCTTCTGGATACAAAAGGGCTGTGATTATCTTTTCCTGGAATTTTAGGAAGGATCTACTACTGTTGCTTTGTAAGGTACAAAAGCATTATATAGAGCCAATTAAAATAAATAAACAGACACTTTTTGTACCCGCATCTGGCTTTTTGGGAAACTAAGTATGGCTTCATAGTTACATAGTTAGTCTTGCTGAAAAAGGACAAGTCCATCCAGTTCAACCATTAAAGAAAAAAAAAAAAAAAAAAAAAGTTATAATCCTACACCAACAGTTGATCCAAAGGCAATAAAACCCAGCAAAGCATGATCCAATGTGCCCCTGCAGGGAACAAAATTCCTTCCTGATCCCCCGAGAGGCAATCGGATATTTCCTGGATCAACTTTACCTATAAATGTTAGTATCCAGTTATATTTTGTGTATCTAAGAAACAATCCAGGCCTTTTTTTTTTTTTTAATCACTTCCAGTCGGACACTTTTACCCCCCTTCCTGACCAGGGCAATTTTCAGCTTTCAGCGCTATCACTCTTTGAATGACAATTGCGCGGTCATGCAACACTACCCATATGAATTTTTTACCATTTTTTTGAGACAAATAAAACTTTATTTTGGTGGTATTTATTCACCGTAAATGAAAGTGTCCAAAATTTTTGGAAAAAAAAAGTGTTTTTCTTATAAAATTTTGCAAATAATATTTCATCATAAATCTTGGCCAAAATTTATTCCGTTATCTTTTTAGTAAAAAAAAAAAAAATAAGCCAAATTAGTTTATAACCAAAAATTATAATTTTTAAACATTTTTATTTTTTTTTTTATATTATTTATTTTATTTTTTTTTACATACTGTCACCCTAGCAGTACAGTGTCACCATGGTGACACTGTACTACTTTTTAGGGGTGATGATTTTTTTTTTTTTTTTACACCGATTGCTTTTACACCCATATAGGATGTAAAAGCAATCATTTCTCTGTCTGCATTCTTGCAGCCATTGAGAACTACTGAGTGAGCTGTGATTGGTCACAGCTTGTCACATGGTACAAGGCTGTTGTGAATAGCCTTGTACCATATGACTTCTGTGATCATTCATAGATTTCACACGTAGTAAGCAATGATGTCAGAAGTGACATCTTGCTTACTACTTTGGCCAATCAGTTATCACATGATCGGGACCTCATACAGAGGTCCCGTCCGACGATCGGTGTTTCACTGTGTCCGGAGGACACAGCAGGCACCAGACCGCGGTGCTGCACGCTCCCGGGGAGCGCACACAAGCAGGGTGCGGGGGAGGCCGTTTATAAATCCACTGAGCTGGCCAGAACCAACTCTTGAGGTAGTCTATTCCACATTTTCACAGCTCTCACTGTGAAGAAACCTTTCCATGTTTGGAGATTACATTTCTTTTTCTCCAGACGTAAAGAGTGCCTCCTTGTCCTCTGTGATGACCTCAGGGTGAATAGCTCTACACCAAGTTCACTATATGAACCACTGATGTATTTATACATGTTGCTCATATCCCCCCTTAATCTCCTCTTCTCAAGAGAGAATAAATTCAGTTCCTCTAATCTTTCCTCATAGCTGATCTCCTCCATGCCCCTTATCAGCTTGGTTGCCCTTCTCTGTACTTTCTCCAGCTCCTCAATGTTCTTTTTATGAATTGGTGCCCAAAACTGAACTGCATATTCCAGATGAGGTCTTACTAATGATTTGTACCGGGGTAAAATGATATCTCTCTCTCTGGAGTCTATACCTCTTTTAATACAAGAGAGGATTTTGCTCGCTTTAGAAACCGCAGCTTGGCATTGCGTGCCATTATTAAGCTTGTGATCTACCAGAACTCCCAGATCCTTATCCACCATTAATTACCCCAGTTGTACCCCCCCTAGTATGTATGATGCATGTATATTCTTAGCCCCCAAGTGCATAACCTTACATTTATCAACATTAAACCTCATTTGCCACATAGTTGCCCAATTAAACAGAACATTGAGGTCGGCTTGTAAATTGAAGACATCCTGTAAGGACATTACTCCACTGCACAGCTTGGTGTCATCTGCAAAGACTGAAATGGGATTTGTAATCCCAGACCCTATATTGTTTATAAATATATTAAAAAGTAAGGGTCCCAACACTGAACCTTGGGGTACACCACTGACAACCCTAGACCATGCAGATTATGAATCATTAACCACTACTCTCTGAATATGAGCTTTTAGCCAGTTTTCTATCCATTTACATACAGATTTTTCCAAACCTGTAGACTTTACGTTACACATTAGCCGTGTGTGGGGAACTGTGTCAAACGCTTTTGCAAAATCCAAGTATACCATGTCCACCTCCACCCCCTCCAAGGTTTTGCTCACCTCCTCATAAAAAGAGATCAGATTTGTTTGACAACTTCTGTCTTTCATGAATCCATGCTGTCTGTTGCTTAAAATATTTTTTTTCAGCAAGAACTCATCTATGTGGTCTTTTATTAAACTCTCCAGTATCTTCCCAATTATAGAAGTTAAACTAACAGGTCTATAATTACTTGGTAAAGATTTTGACATCTTTTTAAATATTGGCACCACATTGGCCTTACGCCAATCCAGTGGTACTATGCCAGTCATAAAAGAGTCCCTAAAAATTGGCTTTATCATTTGGTTGTTGAAGTTCAACCCTCCCATGTTAAGGTTATAGTCGTTGACACAAAGGGGCTTCTCAACAACACCAACTGCTGTGGCAACTTAGATAGTCGCGTCTGCGTGAATGGAAGACAGGACGAAAACATCCTGTTCGTCCTTCCACTTCCTCATTTCTCAAGCAGGCTTTTTCCCCCTAAGACGGGTATTTACAAA